TAGAAATAAATGTTTAAATATCGATAACGGACCGGTACCCAACTAGAGATTGTTAGTTTCTCTTTATGTGTTCACTGAAGCGATGACGGTCCAGGGTTTAGTAAACTGTAATAATTAGTAAAAATTTGGTAGATTTAGCATTTAGACTTAGCTACACTTCGCTTCTGAAGATGCTAACATTGTTGGCGAAAAGTACTTTAAGCACTTTGTGTTTTGTTTCGGTAACATCACCAAGGAACAAGATTTAAACTGACAAAAAGAATCTAAACAAGTTTTGACTTACTACCCCTACCAAAAAAAAAAGAAAAATAACTGATCTTTAAAAAAGAATAAGTTCTATCTCCAACTTAAAGAATCTAATAAAAATTTGACTTACGACCCCTAACAAAAACGAACAAAAAGAACTTATCTTTAAATAAAGAATTATGTCCATATCCAACTTAAACAAGATTTGCCCTAACAAAAAGAATCTAAAAAAGTTTTAATTTACGACCCCTAACAAAAAAAAAGAACTGATCTTTAAAAAAAGAATTAGTTCCGTATCCAACTTAAAGAAACTAATGACAATTTGACTTACAGCCTAACAAAAACAAACTAAAAGAACTTAGCTTTAAATAAAGAATTAGTTCCATCTCCAACTTAAACAAGATTTGCCCTAACAAAAAGAATCTAAAAAAGTTTTGACTTACGTCCCCTAACAAAAAAAAAGAAAAATAATTGATCTTTAAAAAAAAGAATAAGTTTCATATCCAACTTAAAGAAACTAATGACAATTTGACTTACCACCCTAAACAAAAACGAACTAAAAGAAATTATCTTTAAATACAGAATTATTTCTATCTCCAACTGAAACAAGATTTGCCCTAACAAAAAGAATCTAAAAAAGTTTTGACTTACGACCCCTAACAAAAAAAAAGAAAAAGAACTGATCTTTAAAAAAAGAATAAGTTTCATATCCAACTTAAAGAAACTAATAAACTAACTAACGACACCTAACAAAAACGAACTAAAAGAACTTATCTTTAAATAAAGAATTAGTTTCATCTCCAACTTAAACAAGATTTGCCCTAACAAAAGGAATCTAAAAAAGTTTTGATTTACGACCCCTGACAAAAAAAAGAACTGATCTTTAAAAATATCCCAATAAACACAATTTGACCTAATAAAAAAATCTAAAATAAATTTTGAAGCACGACCCCTTCACAAAAAAGAACTAATCTTTAAGTAAAGAATAAGTTTCATTTCCAACTTAACCAACTTAAACAAGATTTGACCTGACAAAAGAATCACAAAATTTTGACCTACGATCCCTAACAAAAACGTACTAAAAGTACTGATCTTTAAATAAAGAAATTAGTTATATCTCCAACTTAAACAATATTTGACCCGACGAAAAGATATTTAAAGAAATTTCGATAATAAAAACTTTTAGTTAAAAAAATTAAAAATAATTAATTGGTAGGTACTTGCCAAATTCCTTGAAGAGTTCTGGTTAAATCGTATTATCCTTATATGGTTGTCTTATTTCTTATTATCCATGGGTTAATGCTATAACATGTTGAACCTAGAAAAAAAATACAATTAGACGATTTAAGGGCTGCAACTTTTATGTTTTTATTTTTTTAAATATCAAAAAAAAAATCATTGTAATATTTAAGATAATAGATGCGTTAGAATTCTAATAATACATACATATATAGGTAGGTACCTAGCAATTTGTATACAAATACATCTGTAGATGTAGATCAACTTAATAAAGGAGCATGTTTGTCGTATCAAAGCCAAATTTCAACTAAATGGTTGATTACGTTGTAGGGATTATAATTATTTTTATCAGCAAAAACAAAAAAAGGGTGAGTCAGACTTACGCGATAAACATATGTACACTGAAAGAAATATATGTTTGTTTTAGCAATGTATGTGGTTTATATATGGACTACCACATACATTGCTAAAACAAACATATATTATATTTAGTTTTAACATAATATGTTAAAACTAAATATAAAAATGGTTAAGGTAAATATATTTTATGTTTCATATATGGACTACCACATACATTGCTAAAACAAACATATATTTCTTTCAGTGTAATATATATTACGTTTAGGGTGACAAATTTTAATTATAGATATATTTGTTATTTATTATTTTATTAATACTCAAATAATCTCGATTATATACAAAATTTACCAAAGAAATACGCACAAATAATATTTATGAAATATTTTTCGCAGTTCTGACATTTCTCCATCAAACATGAATTGACAAAGTCAAAGCCATCTAAATTTTAGAATATAAATAAAACTAACAATATCGCTTCTTAACTGGCATTAAAAAAATTATTATATCTTTTACATGGATAAAAATAACAAAACAAGACTATCTGGACTGAAAAGATGAAGGTGGGGACTACATTTCCTGAAAGTTTCAGATTTTTATTTTTTCCTCAACATAATGATTTCTGAGGGCAAAATTGGCTAATTTTGAGAATTATCAATTTTCAATAATTTTTTTAATAAAGAAATTGATAGTCTAGAAACTTAAAATAATAGTTACGTTTTCTATTGTATAAGTACTTTATACCTGAAAAAAATGAACCTTCTAAATTCAGTAGAATAGGCACAGGAGCTAGACAAAAATCACAAAAATTGTCAAATTATCATGAATCTTTAGTGGTTTACCATTCTTTTATGAGATTAACTAATTGGATAATAATAATTTATATCGAAAACACACTTACTGGACAGTAAAACAAAATTAAAATTATTTCAATATTTGTCACAGAAAAAAAGTTCTGGCCCACTATAAGAGAGTAAGAAATTGACACTATTTCAGATTTCTAAGGGGTGCCAAATAAAAGTAAAGCAACAAAAAATTAAAACGGCAACGGATTTTTATATTTGACACCTAAAAGATTATCCTCAAATTTTTTCATCAAAATAAAAAATCATGCAGCGCACTTTTAAATTCATTTTTGGTGTTTTCATTTGGATTGACTCAATTTGTTGATGTAGATAAAAGTAATAAATGAGCATGTTCGTCGTATAAAAGCCAAATTAAAACTGAACGCTTGATTACGTTGAAGGGATTATAATTATTTCTTATTACCAAAAAAATGGGTGAGTCAGACCTGCGCGATAAACATATTACGTTAAGGGTGACGAATTTCTTAATTATATATTTGTTATTTATTATTTTATTAATAATCAAATAATGTAATTTCGATTATAGTTTCCAAAAATTACGCACCATTTTGAGTAATTAGGGTTTAAAAATTGTGTTCTAAAGACGTTTTGAAAATAAAATCTTAAATAAGAAACTGTTTTATCCTTATCGGTTGATATTTTTGTTGAAAATATTTAACACAAAAATTATAGATATTAAACTAAAAATTACAAAAATCTAAACAAAATTTTGACCTACGACCCCTTACAAAAACGAACTGATCTTTAAAAAAGAACAAGTTTCATCTCAATTTAAAATCAATGAACTATATATATTATACATATTGATATATTGATTTTAAACAACAAAAAACTATTTAAATTTTCTAAAAGTTAAAATCAAAGGCGATTTTATAAATAAAAGTGAACTAAACAAGTTTGAAGAAATTTAGTTTAAAAAACTTAAAAATTAGCGAATATCTACACTCACAGGCAAAATAATCGATCCACACAAATTTTCGATGAATTTCAATCGCAAATAACTTTTTTATTTGATTTCGGATTTAAACAAATATTAAAGAGTATTGTAGATACATTAATGGAAAATCGCTCACATTTTAAAAATTACTAAAAAATACACGTACGTTTATAATATACAGGTTTAAACAAAAAGATGTTTTTTACCAAAAATTTAAGACACTCTGTAGAGTGTATTGTTCTAAATTAAGTTTTTAATTATTAAGTCACATCCATTTTTAACAGTTTTGTTTTTGGTTTACCTTGATATATTTATTTTTGTGGAAAATATGGAATTTTTTTAAAAAAACATTGCAATTTCTAATATTTTTCCTGTATAAAGAACTAAGGTTGCCATGGTCCATCCATAGCCTATGGAGGATGACAGTGACAGTTTTGTTGAATCATCCCATACTTGGACATGTCATATACAGCTTTCAAAAGCTATCAAATTGTTTTTTGTAAATTAATGTGTTAATTTTGAGGGGTCTTCTTACTATTAAAAATGTCTCCGACTGATGTTGCCCTTTGTACTTTACTTCTTGTGAGGTTTAAAACACTTGCCACGTAATACTATGACCGTCCTTCCTGGATTAAATTAATGGCTCTGGCAACATCAGTCGGAGACATATCCATTTTTTAAAGTAAGAAGACACCTCAAAATTTAAACATTAATTTGCATAAAACAATTTGATAGCTTTTGAAAGCCGTGTATGACATGTCCAAGTATGGGATGATTCAACAAAACTGTGACTGTCATTCTTCATAGCCTATGGATGGACCATAGCAACCTTAGTTCTTCATACAGAAAAATATTGGAAATTGCAATGTTTTTTTAAAAAATCCATATTTTCCACAAAAATATATATATCGAGGTGAACCAAAAACAAAATTGTTAAGAATAGATGTGACTTGATAAATATAACTTAATTTAGAACAATATACGGTTTTGCCACTCTACAGAGTGTCTTCAACTTATGGTAAAAAACATCTTTTTGTTTTAACATGTATATTATAAACGTACGTCTATTTTTTAGTAATTTTTTAAAATGTGAGCGATTGACCATTAAATTATCTACAATATTCTTTAATATTCGTTTAAATCCGACATCACATAAAAAAGTTATTTGCGATTGAAATTCATAGAAAATTTATGTGGATCGATTATTTTGCCTGTGAGTGTATTTTTGTTACTTGTGTACTGCGTTTTGTACTCGTAATCGCCCGGTTTCACCACCAGGCGGCGCAACCACAGTCTGTGATTCACAGATACTTGCTACCAACATAATTTAAATAAACTTGTTTTACGATTTTTAGAAGACAATTTGACAATGTAAAAAGAGTATTTAAAATGGTTGAGGAAGTTCCGGGCTCGTTGGTACAAAATATACAAAATCTATTTTACCTACCGGAAAAATTGGCGAAAAAATACGCTTGTATTGTGTTTTTTGCTTGCATAAGATTTGAAACGTCGAAGAAAAAATTGCAACATCTCACTTTTGAAGACTGGAGAAAATGCACTGAGGCTATAATGGACAATTGGAGCTACAAAATGACAGGTACATATAAAATTATATACAATTAATTTTTTTTATTGGACATTTGTTTTTTTTATTAAGTTGGTATGCCAGTTTGATTTAGTATTTTTGGTATTTAAAAAATGGTACTAAGCTCCACACCTCAAAGTCCCACCACGTGACCACGTACGGAACGCAGTCTTTTGAAAATTTGACATTTAAGGCTTTTCAGGTTATGTATCTGTCAAAGTATAGTCAATGAAAGAAATAATATTTATAGTGTTACCGCTTATGTTTAAGCGTTAAAAGTTAATAAATCTTTATAGTATCACAATAACAATGGTTGGTTTAAGAATTTAGGAATATAAATACTGCATTTAATGAAATTCCAAAGTGTAAGGTGCAATATAAGTGATATTTTTGTGCATTGGGTCTACATTTCTCCATAAAATAGTTTTAACTAAACAGCATTTATTAAAAAAAATCTAACTTCTATATTATGAATTAAGAATATCCGTATCAAAGGTTAATGTATTAGAACAAAAAATATCATCTAATTTTGTATTTTAAGGTTAGAAAAATCTATTTTGACCAAAATAAATAAGTGGATTATTTGGAAAAGTGTGTTAATATGGTCATAAATAAATATAGGTATACTAAATAATTGTTGAATATGGTTCAAATTAAATTGAAGCTTTTATACTTCTAATGACAAAACTTGTGCATACCTCTCGGCATACCTACTTTAAGTTAGATTATAAGAAAACAAACAATTTTTAGAAAAACTTGCAATTTGAAAATATTTAATGACCTGTGATTTATTAAATTTTTTAAAGTTATAATGATTTTTCAATGTAGATCAAGTTCAATCGAAGCTTTTTAACTATTTGTATTGACAAAACTTTATGTAGGTACACTTTAAGCTGGATAAGAAAAACTACCACATTTTTAAATACCATATCATACAGTCTTTTAAATAATCCAAAATACTTATTTATTTTGGTCAAAATAATTTTTTATAACCTTAAAATTACAAAATTAGATGATATTTTTGTTATAATATATTAACCTACCTTTAAAACAGATTTTCTTATTCCATAATAAAGAAGCTAGATTTTTTTTAATAAATGCTGTTTAGTTAAAATTATGTTATGGAGAAGGCCAGATATTTGGGCCAAATGCACAAAAATATTACTTATTTGGCACCATACACTTTAGAATTTCATTAAATGCAGTATTTATATTCTTAAACCATCCATTGTTATTGTAATGTTATAAAGATTTATACATTTTGAACGCCTAAACATAATATTATTTCTTTCGTTGACTATACTTTGACAGATACATAACCTGAAAAGCCTTAAATGTCAAATTTTCAAAAGACTGCATTCCGTACGTGGTCACGTGGTGGGACTTTGAGGTGTGGAGCATAGTACTTCTGTTGAAGACCTTAATTAAAAACTCTGACACTGTCAAATTGACAATAATATTTATTATTGATAATTTACTTGTCAATTATAAATAAAAATATAATTATGCCAAAAATAATAGCAACGAATTCGAATGTAAAAGCCCTTTTGAGGGCAAAACTTCATTTTGATGAAATTATGCCAAGAAATTATGGAAGAAAAAGTACATCGCCTTGTGAACATTTTTGGAGTAAAAAAGTAACGAATTTGGTTTTATAAATATTACATCACACATTATTTTCACATTATTCACCATTGGACAACATTTGCGTTCACAAAAAATTTTAATTTCTTTTATATAAATTCTTTTCAAAGCGAAGATTATTATCCGCTAGGAATACTTTCTCTTCTGGGCCGTAAAGCAACCCATATTTAACTACTTTTTTTATATGATTTTCCTCATCCAAGCACCACCAAAGCCAAATTAATTGCATTTTTAACTACGAATTTCGACAACTCAACTTGACAACTGCACAATGTAACCTACAATAATTTATACATAACCACAATTAGATTTATAACTAGCTTAGTTTGTTTTAATCAATGCGACCAACTTGACAACTGTATTTACCAACCAAACCCCTAAATTTGATAATAATAATTTTAGGGCCCGAATACTATGACACTGAAATGGATAAGGAGTTTTTATTGGAACTAAGGGAAATTAAAGTATTAATTGATAGAGAAAAAGAACATAAGCAGTATGTTTATATGGTTTATCATCACATTTTTGACTGTGTATTTTTTATTTACCTTTTTAGGATGATATTAATACAATTAAAACCAAAGTTACTACAGAAAATATTCAACGACTTGGAAGCGAATTTTAGGTTATATTCGAGGCCTTTAATCCTATTGGCTACCACATTACATCGAAGCAGGGACATGAAAAACCTGTTTATTGAAATTATACAAATAGTTGAAATTTTTAAACAAGCAAGTTGGTCAGTTCACGATTTGGACGAATTTTTGCATAGTTTTTACACTTCCGGCTTGGAAATTGATATAATAAGGTAAGTAACAAATAAAAAGTTTAAAAATATATATTTTTTGTTTTGTTTTTGATTTAATTGTGCTTTTTTTATTTAAAATAGCAAATATTATTATTTTTTAATAAAATGCAAAACATTTTTTTTTCAGAACTGACTCTGGCCTTAAGTCTACACTAGAAAAATATATGACAGTTATAAAAGTATGCTTACATGTCATGTATTAATTTTTTTAAGTAATTTTATTTATTTTTTTGTGATTGTTGTTTTTATAATATTATAATGCATTAATAAAAGTTTTGTTGTTTTATTTACATAGTTTTATTTCTGGATATGGGTTGGGCAACTTTTGACCTCATTTTGTTTATATAGTTTTCGGAGAAAATTAAACAGTATTTTGTTATGAGAACATAGATATTGTATTATATATACTGTTCCAGACCAGGCCAGTCACTTTTTCAAACAGTTTCTGAAATATCTGTGTTTTCTAAATTTGAATGCAAGGGAAGTGACGAGTATACCAGGGTACTAATAAAATAAATAATATTGGAAAATATAAGATTTATTGCAACCTTGAGCATATCATACATTAAATATCTTAAAATCAAATCATACCACACATCAGTGGCGGCTGGTGGATTTTGGGTATACCTTAATTATTAGATATGGGACCCACACCAAATTTATATGAGTATATAATGACATTAAATAAACAAGTTCTGCGCAAGCAGAATTTAAATTGAAGTTTGCGAAAAAAAGATAACCGAAACATCGAACATGGAACTGACGACACGGTACTGATGAATGGGATACAAATTTGAGATTATAATTCGGAATTAAGTATTTTACTGATATTTTTTATTAGTGGATGCTACTAATCAACAAATCATATATATCCTTATATGAATAACAACGAAATATATATAAGAAAATAACTACTTACCACAGTACTGAAATTTTGACTGGAACTATACGTGCATTCACCACAACTTCGCCGCTTGCATTGGTTTCAAGATGACTGTCGTGCAAAGGGCGGGGTCTGTAGGTAATTTTTTCCCAACACTTGAGTTAAAACGAGGACTTGACGTTTAAACTTCAATATTTCGCAGGAATTTTGAATTTTAACATTGGACACAGAACTGACCGGTAAAAGTGAGTACAAAGATTATCAATTTTTAAAAAATTCGAATCTATGATAAAATATGAAAAATGCATTATTTAATGTTTTATAGTTTGTAGTGATGAAATTAAAAAATTTAAGAGAAATTGAATATATTTTAAAATAGAATCACTCAAATATTTGATTCAGGAGTTGTGACACGCCAAGGTACTGACGTTTTGAATATTTTTGAATGTTTTTCTACAAACGTGCTTTTGAAAAAATTCATTAAAATTGGGTGGACAAGTTAAAAAACCTGGATCTTTTGTAATATACTGAAATATTTACAAAAAATATTAAAATACCTACTCTTTTGTAGAATCACCCATATTGTTAACATATGGTGAGGGGGATTTAAAAAAATGGTGAACAACTTTAATAAAAAACTTTTTTTTAATAAGTTTTATTTGTCAAAAAATTAAAGTTTATTAAAATAATCAATACAATCAATTATTTTAATTTGAGCGTATCCAATGATGTTAAATCTGATGAACACCAGGTAAAATATTGTTAGGTACCATATTGTGTTCCAAACTATGTATAAATACCACATTCTAAAAAAGAAAATAAATAATAATAATAATAATATTTAATTGAACATTAACTGACTGTAAAATAACGTTTTAACGGTTAAAAGAATAAAAAAGTTTTTCTGGATAATCTTTACCTCATGGTATGGCGTTTGGCAGCTTCAAACGTTTCTTTTCCTTCATTTAGCAAATATTTTCTCGCGCCCAGTTTCACTTTCCAGAAAAAGTCGAAAATGTCAACTTGATCCAGCTCTCTGTACGAAGAAAAGGCTACCATGTCCTCGGGTAATATTTTTCTTTCAAGGTTCAAAGTTTTTTTGTTCTTAAAAACCCAGGTGTAATTCAAAAAGTACTGTAGAGCCATGTTCGCTATGTAAATTCTTCTGTGTAGTTTAAAAACTCTAAAAACAGAATGATTCTAAAAAAATCCCAGTTTCTGGGAATTGGGTAAATTTGGCAACGTCACAAAAATTACCCATCTTCTGGAAATTTTTGGGAAACCGAAAAAAATTAATTACATTCAAACGAAATATAAAAAAAAATTAAAATGGAAAATTAAATTTTGGAAATATTGAAAATTTGGATTTTTTTTTGCAAAATTACTGTCTTAAGGTATCCTGAAAATATATAATATTAACATCTCAGGTTCTGGGAATTTATTGTAAATGTGGCAACACCGTAAACAAATTATAATTCCAGATTCTGGGAATTTTTAGAAGTTTGGCAATGTCGCAAAAGTTCGGAAATATGTAAGTATGAATTTATTTTTAATAAAATAGTAGATTATGTTATAAGGAGTAGAAGTGACTCTTTTTGTGGTGAGTACATAGATTGACGGCCGAAGCGTAGCTGAGGCAGGCAACTGTACGAAGCACAAAAAGAGCTTCTACTCCAAATAACATATACAATTTTTTTTTCAAGGGCATAATATAAATAGGATAAGCAATAGAATTATTTTTTTACTCATAACTCGTGTGGGATTTTGGCTAAAAGCATTAGAAATTATTGATAAAAACTAAAAAAACTAATAAACCTAGGTTTATTAAGTAAGCTTACTTACAATGCCGATAAATATCCGAAATTAAAACTAAACACTGCTCTGTCAAAATGCTGCGCTTGAATTAATTTTGACGTACTGACATTTGTTTGAAGTTTCGACATTGGCGACTCGTCTATCATCATAATATTATACTAATAAACTAGTTTTTCTTTATTTCGTTCAATTAAAATTTAATAAATAATCACTAAATATTCCGTGCGATTATAATTAATATAATTAATACATCGTGATTGCTTTGTATGAAATGCTAAATTAATTTTATTATTTGACGTTTATTGAGTCACCTATGGATTTACTTCTATCCCTAGGCTTTTTTGAGTTTTTTGTCTGCCGCTAATGAAAAAGACGCACTTCAACTATCTCTATACATGCATATAAGGTTGTATATCATGGCCGCTTGAAAAAAAACATTTTTTTTTAGTCTTTATTGATCAAAGGGCAAAGTTCAGCATTAGCTGTAACCCTTGTAAATTTTGTAAAAAAAATTAAAATAAATAGTGTAAATGACTTTCTAAAGGTATCCCGAATGCTTTAAATTTTTAGAAATTTGACAACATGCAATAAAATATTTAATATACAACCCAAATAGCATTTTCGCACATTTTCACGACTGCCGACCAAATCTTTACCAATGCCAACGTCGGTCATTGTGCAAATCAAAGTCGTTTGTGGACTTATAATCTCAAGTTGCAAAAAGTCGTCTAGACGACGACTATACAACGTCGGAGCCTATAATATCTATTATAGTAATAAAATCTGTCCACTGTCGACGTCCGTCCAACGTTTAATTATATCTAGGAACTATTACTGGAGTTCGGCAACGATGGTCAGACGTGGGCTTGTTTTCCTCGAAGGCAACGTTGCTATTTGGGACTCTCTTTACGTTGCGCTGTAGTTCAAATGTATGACGTTGCAAAGTAATACAAATGACGACTTTGGTCTGTAGGCCAAAAATGTTTATTATTAAAACTTTCAATTTGAAAGTGAGGTTATGTATTTGTTTGTGTGTAATTTATTATTTTTAGTAATGCCAAAAAACAGTACTGATATTCAAGTACATTTTACAGAAACCTGTTAAGAAGAACTGGGTTAGTTGTTTTAGCCCATCTCTAGGAGTTTCCCAACGTATCCATTTTTATTCACTCATAAAACTAAATAATTTAAGCGGCCATATTTGCAACTGACCTCAAATATTCAATTTTTAAAATAAAGAATAAAATCATGTCCCATATTATTTAATGGTGTTTTGGTAAATTTTCACATCGATACATCGATAATTTTTAAGTATAACACCAATATATTTTAACCATTATTAGTGTTACACTACAGTAGGTGACAAGATTGTTTCGTTTGATCATCAAACTTTGATGCCATCATATTTGTGACAAATAATTTGTCTGTTAGTAAAAATATTCGTAATCATATCCGCATACGAATTGATTCTTGCGGATTTCTGCCTTAGTTATGGGCCAATATAAAAGTTTTATAATAAAACCCCATTTTTCTCCCATTGATGGGGAACCGGCTCGACTTCCCCTAGATCTTTGATTTGAATAACTTTAAAATGATGTTCGCCCATTTTATGCAAAACAGACACAGACCAACAAAGAATAAATCAACAAACAACAAGTCACCCTCCATAGAAAAACCACCATCCAAAATAAGTAAGGTTAAGTAGAGATAAAGAAGGTTACTATTTTTAGTCATGTGATAGTTGTGTCTACAGACCCGGAACGACGTTGGGGCAAATAAGTCGGACCGACGTAGTAATGTAATACGAAGGGTGCACTGCGGTCGGAAATGGTGCGCGCTTTAAGACTTGGTTGTACTCGTCCAAATAAGTAAAGAAACAGTAAAAATTTATAGACACTTCGTCGAAGTACGGTTAAATATCTGGAGTTTCCCAACTACGCCATTTTTATATCATCCATATTTGCAACTCGAGTAATGATCATCACGAATATTCAATTTTACCCATTTAATGTTTAAAATAAAGTTAAAAATTATGTCTCGTAGTTTTTAGTTAATTCTTAATGATGTTTGCATTGATGTTTCACATTGATATCTGCACAAAAAAAATATGTTTATTTTTTTTCTTCCGAAAAAAATTGTTAGTTTAAATATTTCTTAGGGCGCTTTAATTTTTTTCGATCCACCTCGGTCACATTCATCAGTAAAGTGACCTGTGTTTGTAATTTTCAAGAATCTCTCTGTGATACAATTCCATTTTTAAAGAAAATAACATCTATAAATAAGCGACATGATTGTTTCGTTGGTATGGATGATTGTGTTTGATGCCATGATGCCATCTGTTGGTTAAAATATATTTGTACTCTATGATTACATGTAATGTTAATCAAGAGGGCGCTAATCACTAGCGGCCAGTGTTAGAAAGGTCGTCCCGAGTATATTGTTTTGAAACAAGACGACGTCGGGAGAGTCGTCCAAACCGACGTTGAATTTAGTAAGGAATTCTTTCTTAATCCGACGTCGCGTCCGACGTCGTACCGACCAGGATTTTTATTCCCCATTTTGGTGCAGATTCAAGTAAATACGTAGTCGCGCAGACGTTGTGTACCGACGTCGGGTTGTTATACGCGACGTTGGCCGGACGTCCAAATGCTATTTGGGAAGGTGCGTTCAGAAAATATCGGGAATTTTCGTTTTTTGAAACAAATATTTATTTATTCGTCTACATTAATATTGTCGCCTTCAAAATAGTCCCCATTGGATATTATGCACATGTGCCAGCTCTTCTTCCAATACTCGAAACACTTCTAAAACTCGATCTTTGAAATAGCCTTTAGTTCTTTCAGCAATACTCTCTTAAAATGAATTAGTCAAAAATTACTAATTATAAGTCATATTTGACTAATTGTCATAGAGAAAAAGCAGTCACTAAAAATTAGTCAAATTCCACTGAATGAAATAGTCAAACTAGTAAATTTAAATTTAAAAAAAGTTTTGACCCAGCCTGGGATGAACTCAGGTCTGTCACTTGACAAGTTTGTCAAGCTAACCTCATAACGCATTCGGCTGTCAGCCGCTCTTATAAAAATTAATTTTATTTGTCAATAAATATTGTTCATAATATTTTAAAGTTTAATATATTATTTGTGTTGCTGTTTTGAGCTAAACTTTTTGCATTTTTATTTGTTTTATGGGTCATTTAACCATGGAGAGGTATATGCATTTAATTAAAATAATATTTTGTTGTTGGCCGTAAACGATTAAAGAAATTAGTTACTTTTAACTATCAGAAATAGTCAAATATGGTGACTAATCTTAAATTAGTCAAACTTTAACTATTTACGTAGTAAAAAATAACTATTTAAAAGTGAAAACGACTATTTTATTAGTAAAAAATGCTGGTACTAATTCAAATAGTAGAATTTTGACTATTTCATTTTTAGAGAGTACGCTTTTAATGTTATCTATGCTTGCAAAACTACGGCCCTTTAAGGTTATCTTTATTTTTGGGAATAGGAAAAAGTCAGCCATGTCTGGCGAATATGGAGGCTGGGGCATCATTACAGTATTGTTTTTGGCCAAAAATGTTGTTCAAAATTTAACAATTTTAGAACAAATTTTGCTGCCACGCATTTCATACCCAAAAATTTCATGGGATGAGCCAATCGATATACCAACATCATCAGCGACTTCTCTGATGGTTTATAACCATTTCTTCCACTTTTTCCATGTTTTTATCGGTTGTTAATGTGCTTGTGCGTTCGGGGCGTTCGTCATCTTCAACATCTTCACGGCCATCTTGGAAACAGACTCACTATAGGCCTTTGTTAACATTTCACAGAATTTATTTAATTTTTTAATCAAAATTGGATACAAAATCTTTGATCCATTTCTTTTAACGAACGAAAAATCGCCGAGCTCATAAAACACAGACAAAGTAAACAATGAAAACAGCTATAGCTTATAACTTTATAAAGTTTTTATCATACTTCGGGGCTTGTATACCAACATAATACAGAAAATTTTATGACAACCGGACCCTCTGAACCCGCGAAATTTAGCAATTCCCGTTATTTTCTGAACACACCTCGTATTTGCATATAATACTTACATAGGTTTTTTCCCTGCAATCCTCAACATGCCATCTATCAGTAAAGCTGGTAATAGTTGGTAAAATAACAGTTTGTAAAAATGGTTATACCAACAGGCCGTTGGTTCATTATGTGGATACCATATCACGTTATTCAGTGGACACTCTTTATACATTTTAGCGCCACATTCCATAAGTTCTTTATATGTTAAAGGGGCGACAGTATTATTACTAGCGTTGTACACTTCAGTTTTAAGTTTACGAGATAAATCCCTAAAATTAGCATATAAAAATATTAAAATATTGGAAATATAGGAAACAATCAAAAATAGCTATTAATTAAGAAATTGGCCACCGAGATGTTGTGATCTGGCGCCTTGTGAATTTTTCCGTGGGGTCTACTCCACAATCCCACAACGTTTCAAGAACATAAAAATGAAATTCGACGTGTTATTCACTCACTTTTCTACCCCTTTTTCCCATGTCGAAGAAATCATAATTTTGACAACCAAATCCACTGGAATGTATTCAGTCTTTGTGCTAGGGGGTGTGTAAACAGATCTTAAAATGCCTAAAATTATAGTTTGGTTTTGGATAAAAATATCGAAATTACATTGAGATATTATCTCGATGTTTTTTGGGACACCCTGTATAATAATTACCTTTTCCTGTTGCAACACACATTCCAACAGGACCGTAAAAGTTGTCCATCCACCCGGCCACAGGGTCGGAATAAGTAGGGATTACTATAAGAAAAAATATCAAATTTGGTAATAATTAGGGCTAGATGTTTAATGCATTTAAAAGTCAAAAATTTGCTATTCCCTTAAAAACACCTCAATAAATCAATTTAAAAAAATCATGTTTGATTCTCTGAGAACGTTTTGGATTACTTCCGTACTATAATTAATCCTACCTATGCTGGGTCTTAAAATAATAGCCGGAATTTGGTTATTACACAAATCGTACACCTAAAAAAATTGAAAAAATTATTGGAGAAGAATTATTATTATTATATTATTATTATTATAAATTATTTTAGGTTAGAACTTTAAACTTCTGCCCCCTTTTATTTTTAAAAACGGAACTTTTTGTCATCAATTTTTGAAAAAAATTCATAATGTCATACATATTGAGTCATCCCTGTTGTAAATGACCGATTAATTCCTTATAGAAACCAATTGAAGTATTAAAATGTATTATTTGACTTGTATACCATGTGTGTTAATAAAAATAATTAATAATAATAATAATAATTAATAATAATAAATAATTAATAATACAAAACACACCCCCTTTTTATTAATTGAAGTATTGGTTGGTATCAATAGGTCCAATTCAGACTTACTGGGTTTAATTGGGAGCGATATAAAACAGAAATTGGTTTTTACTGGTATTTTCCATGAAGGAAAAGTCCGATTAGGAATCTACTGTTTTTTAGTGGTTTTGATTGGTTAAAGCCACAGACCAACTGTGGTTAAAGCTACCAATAGGTAATTTTCAATTGAATTCAATTGGGCATTCCCAGTGTAAGATTCTAGAAAGGAATCTGCCAATTGGTTATTCCCAATAGGTACTTTAAAATATGGAAAAGTCCAATTAGGATTCTACTGTTTTTTAGTGGTTTCAATTGGTTAAAGCTACCCATAGGTAATTTCCAATTGAATTCAATTGGGCGTTAAGCACTTAAATCAAAGGTAATTGAGCCCTCTACAACTTTCTCATGTATAGTTTTGGTATCGGCTCAGTAGTTCGATACTGGCGATTTTATGAAGTTGAAAAAGTCCTTTTTTACAAAAATCGAGGTCGAAAATTTACATATCTTTCTGGGAAAAATAGAAATCGAAAGGATAATTCCAGTTTGATTTATTTTACGTATAGATTATACTTAAAGGAGAAAAATAAGCTGCTGTTTATAAAAATCCATGGATAAATGGCGAAGTTATGAATTTTTCAGTGGAAGACCAAAATTCAGATTTTCGAGAATTTTTACGTTTTTTCTTCATTTTATTGAATTATATAAAATTTAATATTGAACATTGATTTTTATTTTAAACATTAAATATTGAAATTAAATTATATACCTATTGAATATTGAACATTGAAGAAATTGAAAGTTTTATTTTGTTGTAATAAGCATAAGTTTAAAAAAATTCTGGCTCCTTCTTTGTTTTTTGTTGCTTTCGTATTCCGTTTCTCGTATGAAGGACCCATCATGGCTGCATCCCAGAAGCCGTGATACCGCCGCTCCATAGCCTTCATTTGCTGGTGAAAACGTTCTCCGTGCTCATCACTTACGTCGCCCAGATTGTGCGGGTTATTTACGCATTCGAACTCTCTACTTCTTTTACTCATTTTACGCTTTTTATTAACTAAATAAAACCCTGATAAAAATACCTTGTTGAAATATCAAAAAATAGTAGTGAAATGTCACTATGCCAACACGAGAAACAAAAGAATTCACGTTTGCGGAGTCATGTCAAATTTAAATTTTGAATAATGTTTTCAGTGAAAAAAGTACGTAAAAAACTTAAAAAATTCCAATTATGCACGTTATTTAAGTTTTCATTAAAGAATAAACATATTACAAAATAAAAGAAAAAAAATAAAATAAAAATCGTCAAAAAGCTGAATTTTGGTCTTCCACTAAAAAATTCATAACTTCGCCGTTTTTCCATGTATTTTTATCAACATTAGCTTGTTTTTTTTTTGTAAAAATGTCAGCTTCACGAAAAAAAAATCAAGCTAAAGTTATCTGTTTGATTTAAAACTTTCCCAGGACGATATGTAAATTTTCGACCTCAATTTTTGCCATAAAAGCGAATTTTTTAAGTTATTAAAATCGCTAGCGTCAAAATACTTATCCGATATCAAAAGTATGTAAAAGAAAGTTTTAGAGGGCCCAAATACCTTTAATTTAAGGGCTTGTTTGACCAAATCGAACAATTAGATTTTTTGCAATATTTTGTGCTATAATTTCAGATACACCCTGTACAGATTCTGTAAATAATTAGTTGGTTATAATCGGTTTAAAAAGACCTTTTCAACGATGTGTCTCATGACCCCAAAAATGTGTGACAGTAACATTTTTTGCCACAATCGCTTTTTACGTTCGCCCTGTATAAATATTAGGGTGTTTAAAAAAAATCGACTTTTTCTTTTTCTTCAAATGGTCAGCATATTTTTTCAGAGGATGTCAAAACAAAGACCTCGTTAAAATTTGAGCTTTTAATTTGAAGATTTAGAGGTCGCGGATCGCAATTTTCTATTTCCCATTTAAATAACATAGGAAATTTTTTTTTTAACTTTTGAATTTTATACGTCTATATCGAATCAACTTATGGCAAGGAACATCTTGGATTTTTATAGTAAATTTGACGCTCTATAAAAAATGTCTCTTATAATTTTTCTATAAATTGATTTCTTTCAGAGTTATTCGAGGCCAAAGTTTGATTTCCATCGAATTTTCTCGTTTTTTCAACTTTTAGCATCACGTAGTAAAAAAATCACATATTTATATCTGAAACATAGGAAGTGTTATAAAAATACAAAAAAACAAAAAAACGTCACTTTTTTCCAAAGCCTACTACAAAGTTTTAATGAAAATATGAGATGTGTATAATATGCAGAGTAATTTAAATATAAATGCATTTTTCTCGAAAATGGTGCATCTATTTTTCGTAAAAAACTATAAATTCTTATAATTTCATAAAAAAAATTAAATTATTAACCCAGAGCTATTTTTGTAACTTTGCCCCCTCCAAATGTTACGCCTATGATTAAATTTTAACAGTTTTGATCATAGATCTAGATTCAGCATGTCAAAATTACCAAAGTACCGAAAATTCATTTGTTCATGTTCAACCCTCTAGAAATAGTTTTAAAAAAAATATCCTCTTAGGCTCCTATTCAGGGGGCCGTAGCTCCTTTAGGGAGCATTTTTTGATACATGTTTATTAAACAAAAAAAGTGTTATTTTTATACAAATAATGCACTGTTTAAGTTTGGCCCCCTAATTTCGGGACACCCGTATAATGATAATTGTACCAAAAATGTTAAAAAACGCGAAATTTCGATGGAAATCAAACTTTGGCCTCGAATAACTCTGGAAGGAATCAATTCATAGAAAAATGATAGGAGACATTTTTTGTAGAGCGTTAAGTTGATTCGATTAAGACGTATAAAATTTCAAAGTTAAAAAAAAAAATTCCCATGTTATTTAAATGGGAAATAGAAAATTGCGATCCGAGACCTCTAAATCTTCAAATTAAAGGCTCAAAATTTGACGAGGTCTTTGTGTTGACATCCTCTGAAAGAATTTGCTGACCATTTGAAGAAAAAGAAAAAGTCGATTTTTTTTAAACACCCTAATAAATATCATACTTACAACGTGTTCAGCTAGTGATTTGGTGAAGGTGTAGGTATTAGGTAGTGCCCCTTTGTATTTTTCCGTAAGAATATTTAACAATTCACTGTCATAATTTTCCGCCAGTTCTATGGCTTCCTTCCAATCCCCAGGTGGGGGATACATTTCTTCCTCAATTACCAATTTATCGCACTGACTGTATGTGGTGGAGACATGCATGAACACATCTAAATTTTTTAACTCTTTTGCTAAGTAAGTTATCTCTCTGGTGCTTCTCGTGTTCACCAGTATTGAGTCTTTCATGAAATCATCAAAACGGACCGATGCTGCTGAGTGGTAAATAATGTTGACATTGTCTATCAGGGTTTGCCTGTCGATTTTGGAAAGACCTAAAATGAAAAAATTCAACCAGGGAAACCTTTGTACGTTTAGAAGAAATTTTGATTCAAGAATGTACAGTTTACATTACCATTACCAAAGTGGTGATAACTTTAAATTAGTTAAATATACTAAACAGCTACTTTAATTTTTACTTAAAAGTAATTATAACTTTTAAATATCAATATTTTGTAACAGAAACTTCATTCTTTCCTTAAATGGTTACTATAAAGTAATAAACATTTAAGTAAAACTTGGTTGCCCCCAAGAAGACTTTGCAACTTTAAAAAAGGTGTTATAAGTAAAAAAACGTTCAAGTAAATTCAGTTGCTACCAAAAGATTACATTATAAATATTTTTACTTTGTAGTCCGTATGCAAGTTAAAATCTCGAAACTGGAACATGAGTTAAAAACTACAAAGTTAATAACTTAAAAGTTATTATTTTAGTATTTGGAACGTTTATGGTACTAACCAAAACTACCGTAAAGTAAATTAAGGTGGAAAAAAAACTTTAAAGTAGCGAAAACTACTTCAAAAAAAAAATGCTTCTTATCGGCAATTTTTTACTGTACAGTACCACGCGGTAATGTAAATAATAAATTATTTTAATTGTTTGTAAATGGTTGTTCACTTTTTAATAAATAGTAATTTTGTTGGTAATAGACCGTATTAATAATTAAATAAAAAATTAATAATAAATATTAAGATTTTTTTTATTTATAAACATTATAGTCCGGTCAAATTAGACCAAAAAATAACAGTGAAGGTACATAAATTTACAACAAGCTGAAAATCAGTAAAATTGTTCAGAATATAATTATAAATAAAATTTTAAAGTTCCCCATCATTCCACTGTATGGAAAAATTTTTATTCAAGGTCAAAGGTCAAAAAAATTAGTTTTTCGCGATTTTTATCAAAACGGTAAGTTTTATCATAAAAATACCCCAACAAAATTGTAGATCATAAAATTATCTATAAAAAATGTATTAATACTTTTTTTCCTACGAGCCACCGTTTCTGAGATATAACGATTCGAAAAGTTGTAAAAGTTGTAATCGTCATAATATGCACGCCACGTATCTCTAGAGTTATATGTTAAAATATTTTTCTATAGGTCATTTTAACTTACACTTAAAATATAAAGTATACCTATATAAGTTATAACTATAAGAATATCAAGTGAAATAAAACCCAGTCCCTTAAGGGACTGGGTATAAATTAATTAATTTATACGCCATTGTAACCTTGAGACAAAATCTGTGACAGATGACAGATGTTCTGTCTCATGTTCAATTGTTTGACCTGCTATAGTTGGTGCTCGCTGCGGGTGGGACTCGCGCCGCGACCGCTCCACCTAAACTGGGTAGTAATTTTAAAGATGAATTTTATATTTCTCACGTCTTCTGTCACCTTATGTGTTATCTGTCAATTGTAATCTGTCTACTGTCATTAGATACTTGTCATCTGTCAACTTGACATCTGTCACCTATTATCTGTCACCTGTCACCTATTATCTGTCACCTGTCATCTGTCATCTGTCACCTGTCATCTGTCACCTGTCATTTGTCCCTGTCATATACCACCTGTCATTTGCCACCTTATCGATTTGATTTCGAGGATTTTAATTGGTTAATTTTTTTAAATACCCAACAAAAATTAAACGGGCTTCTGGTCGATGAAGCCGTAGATCGGAGGCCGTTGAAGGTTGAAATTTGCATCCTTTTTTTCTGCCCACGAGACCTATCCGCGGACCAAATTTTTCCGGTGTCGAAAGGGTCCAAGTCCACTTTTTTTCGATTTTTCCGTCAAATTTGGCACGTTCCGTTGTCTTCGCTTAACTTTCGAACGAGCGGAGATTTTTCGTCCAAACTCGAGGAAAAGGGTCTTCGGGACAAGAAGTTATCGGCATTCGATTTCTTCTTTCTATATACGGAGCTCCTAAAAAAACTACCTGCTTTGATAAGTATCGATATGCATGTTTCGTTAAAAATTCTAAAAGTAAAAAACAAGTTCAATTAGCTTGTCTTCCTCCAACCTCAGTTGCTGCTCATCAACATCTTTTTCGGGTATATTACTATGTTCAAGTGGTTATCAGCTAGACCCTACAGACTAGGGTTGGAAGTTGGTCAAATTAGAACCAGTTCAAACTTTACTCCCACCTGCGCCTGAAAAACTGCTGAACACAATTTTTAGCAACTGCAAAAAGGGATGCAGTGATAAATGTGGCTGCAAAAAAGTCTGACTGTTTTATTCTCTGGCATGTACGAATTGTCAAGGCCGGTCGTGCTCTAATGTTGAATCACCAACAGGATTCATTTAATTCCAACGAGGTGAGATCGTAGAAAAAAAGTATTGATACATTTTTTATAGATTATTTTATGATCTACAATTTTTGTCTGGTGTATTTTTATGATAAAACTTTTGCTGAAAATCGCGAAAAATCATTTTTTTGATCTTTGACATTGAATAAAAAATTTTCCATACAGGGGAATGATGGGGAACTTTAAAATTTTATTAATAATTATATTCTGAACAATTTTACTGATTTTCAGCTTGTTGTAAATTTATGTACCTTCGAATGTCTAGATTGACCGGACTATTATTAAATAAATAATTTGTTTATACTTAAATATTTTACAAAATCTAAATTCATAAGTTCAACAGTAAAATTTAAAGGGTTTATAAATTTACCTGCCTAATTAAACATTATATTGTTATTCTGGAAGTTATAAACTATCAGTACATATTTAATAAACGACGACATTGAAAAGCCAAATCCGTAGTGGTTCCATTTAAAAAAGGAGGGATAGTATAATCTAATATAAGTTTGACAAACACAGTTAATATAGAAGTAAAAACAAATAAATAAAAGTACCTAATTATAAAGCTCTAACAACGATATTAAAACGTTCTAGTAACGTAGCAGCTACGTTCCAAATAGTAGCAGGGTTTATAGCTAGTGACATATTTGCTACCTTTTTGGAACTCAATAATTGTTCCCCACTTTAGTCGTAACTTAGTAATTAAAGTGTAATATAAAGAGACCGGCGACTGTCGCAAAACACTTTAAAGTTTCTTCAATAGTCCCATATACGTAACAAATACTTAAATTGTTGCTTGGGAAATTGTACCTATTAGATGTAGACAAAATTAAATTTTTTATTTGAAACAAGGTTTTTTTTATTTTTTTACCCTTTTACCCAAAAAGCTTCAAATGTTTAAATTAATTTTTAACCTGAGCCCCGACCACTTAAAAAAAAATCAGAACAATTCCTTATAAAAGGTAAGAAAAAACATAATTTTTTTCAAACAAGGTTTTTTCTTACTTTTTTATCCTTCTGAAGGTACTTCCAAAAATTTAGATTTTTAAATTAATTTTTAACCTAAGAACGGACCACTTAAAAAAAAAGCAGAAAAATTCCTTAAAAATGTAAGAATAAAACATAATTTTTTTAAACAAGGTTTTTTTTTTACTTTTTTACCCTTTTAAAGGTACTTCCAAAGACTCAGATTTTTAAATTAATTTTTATCACTTAAAAAAAAATTAAAAATTCCTTAAAAGGTAGGAAAAAAATATATCTTTTTTTAAACAATTTTTTTTTACATTTTTACCCTTCTGAAGGTACTCCCAAGATTCAGATTTTTAAATTAATTTTTAACCAATTTAAAAAAAATCACAAAAATTCCTTAAAAGGAAGAAAAAAATAAATAAAATCAGAAAAATTAATTTAAGGTTAGGAAAAAACATTTTTTTTTAAACAAGGTTTTTTCTTATTTTTTTATTCTCCAAAATATTCAGATTTTTAAATTTATTTTTAACCTGAGCCCCGACCACTTTAATAAAAATCAGAACAATTCCTTATAAAAGGTGAGAAAAAACATAATTTTTTTCAAACAAGGTTTTTTCTTACTTTTTTATCCTTCTGAAGGTACATCCAAAGATTTAGATTTTTAAATTAATTTTTAACCTTTAAAAAAAGCAGAAAAATTCCTTAAAAATGTAAGAATAAAACATAATTTTTTTTAAACAAGGTTTTTCTCTTTTAAAGGTACTTCCAAAGATTTAGATTTTTAAATTAATTTTTATCACTTTTAAAAAAAATTAGAAAAATTCCTTTTTTTTTTCATTTTTACCCTTCTGAAGGTACTCCCAAAGATTCAGATTTTTAAATTAATTTTTAACCAATTTAAAAAAAAACAGAAATTCCTTAAAAGGTAAGAAAAAAAACATAATTTTTCTTTCAAACAAAGTTTTTTCTTACTTTATCTTGTGAAGGGACTCTCAAAGTTTCAGATTTTTCAATTTACTTTTAAACACTTTAAAAAAAAATCAGAAAAATTAATTTAAAGGTAGGAAAAACACATAATTTTTTAAACAAGGTTTTTTCTTTTTTTTTCTTCTGAAGGTACCGTAAACACGGGTGACTTTGCACCCCGCGGGTGACTTTAACCCATTTATGAAAAATCTTTTCGCGCTCGATAAAATTAACATTTATAATTTGTTGGTCTAAACCTGTCAATTGAGCGATTCTATTGAGTTTATAAATATTACAGTAAAATCAGTGATTTAAAGAAAGAAATGGGATTTATTACACTTTAAAATTGTATATATCGCATCAGTGCAAAACTCTAAAAAATACACGCGTTACAATTTCTATATTATGCGCAATCCTTTGGAATGATGATCCTTGGTTAACTACAGGTCAATTTTTTATTTTTTTATCGGTAATCCCTTGCAATTGATATAATAATAATAATAATAATTATGTCGCTGCTAACACGTGTCTAATAAAAATAAAATATAATATTGAATTCATTTTATACGGAAAATACACTGTGAGACAAAGTAACCCGCAACCAGGGGGTAACTTTGCACACCCAGTTTTTAATTTTTATTTTTGAAACTCAGCCCTATGTAATATTATAACATAGTTATTATGAAAGAGCAACTCAAGACTCAAATTTTGGTATACAAAATTTAATGTTTATGATTGTTAAAACCACAAAAATTTTAAGCTTAAGTTTGAAAGTGAGCTAAAGCCACCCGTGTTTACGGTACTTCCAAAGTTTCAGATTTTTAAACTAATTTTTATCACTTTAAAAAAAAATTAGAAAAAATCCTTAAAAGGTAAGAAAAAAACATAATTTAAAAAAAAAGCTTTTTTTACATTTTACCCTTCTGAAGGTACTTCCAATGATTCAGATTTTTAAATTAATATTTAACCAATTTAAAAAATTCCTTAAAAGGTAAGAAAAAAACATAATTTTTCTTTCAAACAAAGGTTTTTCTTACTGTATTACCCTTCTGAAGGTACTCTCAAAGTTTCAGATTTTTCAATTAATTTTTACCTTACCTAAGTCTAAATCCATTACATCTCCCTCTACGGCAATAAGTTTACCAAGTGCTTTCTCATTTTCTTTTTTTAGAGTTTTAAAAAGCTGCAACAAAATTATTTGTGTTAATTAAAATTTTCAGAATTCTAAAGTAAAACCGTCAAAAATGTTTTACTTTGAACAGCATTATTTTGTTTATCAACTTACCTTGCTGTTTACAATCTGCTCAACCAGTCTTTCTTGGCTATTCTTTCCTTTTTTTGACCGTATTAAAACATATATATTTCCTAAATCTGGACATGACCGAAGCAATTTTTCTATGAGAACTTTTCCAATAAACCCACTACCACCTGTAATGAAAATATTTTTTCCAGCAAAAAATTTTGTGATACTGATTTTTTCATCCATGTTTAAGTTTGCCGGATATTTTTTTAGAAATACACTTTATACCCAGGCAATAAACTTTATAATCAAAGTAAAATTATTCAAAAAATTAATCACTATTGTTTATAAATACTTTGTTGCCATGTTTAATATGTATAAGCTTGAACTATACACCATATAGTTACACTGTAATATTTTAATTTCTAAAAACATAAGCGCATCAAATATTCATTACCCAAAATAACCAAATATATTCAATTTATCTTAAATTTTTCAATTTCACTACAAACTATAAAACATTAAATAATGTATTTTTCATATTCTATCATATATGAATCTATAGAATCGAATAATAGCAATTGAAAAAAAATGATAAAATTTGTACTCACTTGTACCCGTCAGTTCTGTGTCCAATGTTAAAATTCAAAATTCCTGCGAAATATTGAAGTTTAAACGTCAAGTCCTCGTTTTAACTCAAGTGTTGGTAAAAAATTACCTACAGAGCCCGCCCTTTGCACGAGTCATCTTGAAAACAATGAAAGCGGCGAAGTTGTGGTGAATGCACGTATAGTTCCAGTCAAAATGTGGTGAGTAGTTATTTTCTTACGTACCTATATTTCATTGTAATTTATATAAGGCTGTATGTGATTTGTTGATAAGTAGCATCCACTAATAAAAAATACTTAATTCCGAATGATAATCTCAAATTTGTATCCCATTCATCAGTACCGTATCGTCAGTTCCATGTTCGATGTTTCGGTTATCTTTTTTTCGCAAACTTCAATTTAATTTCTGCTTGCGCAGAACTTGTTTATTTAATGTCATTATAAACTCATATAAATTTGGTGTGGGTCCCATATCTATAGATATATGTATATTAGGGTGTGCCAAAAAAACTCGATATTTTTTTTTTCTTGCTCTCCACCCAAAATATCGTAGAATATGTCCAAACAAATATTCTGTTAAAAGCGGAGCTCATAATTTCAATTTTAAGAGGTCCCTCATCGAATCTGAAGTTTTGCCGCTTAAATAACACAGAAAACTGTCTTTTTTACCTTATTTATTCTTGCAACCTAGGAAGAAATTTTTTTTCATAAAATCCATGACCAAATCTTACAAAGCATTAAATTTGGACGAAAAAATCTTATCAAGCCGAATTTCTATTTTTATTATTTGATTTTTTACAGAGCTTTAAATTTAAAATTTTACGTTTTTTGCCTTTTTCAGCTAAACTATTGAAGTTAGACGAAAAAGTTAAATGGCAATTTTTTATCTTGTCTGATGGACCACAAAAAAGTTTTAGGCCAATTTTTTGTATCGTCAATATTCTAATAGTTACAGGCGTATAAAGTCAACATTTTTGTATTATTAACTTTAAATTTAAAGCTCTGGAAAAAATCAAATAATGAAAATAGAAATTCGGCTTAATAAGATTTTTTTGTCCAAATTTAATGCTTTGTAAGAATTAGTCATGGATTTTATGAAAAAAAAAATTCTTCCTAGGTTGCAAGAATAAATAAGGTAAAAAAGTCAGTTTTCTGTGTTATTTAAGCGGCAAAACTTCAGATTCGATGAGGGACCTCTTAAAATTGAAATTATGAGCTCCGCTTTTAACAGAATATTTGTTTGGACATATTCTACGATATTTTGGGTGGAGAGCAAGAAAAAAAAAATATCGAGTTTTTTTGGCACACCCTAATGTATATATCTATATAATATATATATATATATATATATATATATATATATATATATATATATATATATATATTATAATATATATATATATTATAATAATTGAGATATCGGTATACCCAAAATCCACCAGCCGCCACTGATGAGTGGTATTATTTGATTTTAAGATATTTAATGTATAATATGCTCAAAGTTGCAATAAATCTTATATGTTCCAATAAATTATGTATTTAATTATTACCCTGGTATACTCGTCACTTCCCTTGCATTCAAATTTAGGAAACACAGATATTTCAGATACTGTTTGAAAAAGTGACTGGCCCGGTCTGGAACAGTATATTTATTATATTATCTATGTTCTCATAACATAATACTGTTTAATTTTCTCCAAAAACTATATAAACAAAATGAGGTCAAAAGTTGCCCAACTTTTGTAGAATCGCCCATATTTTTTTTACATAACTACAAAGTTAATTTAAGTTGAATTGAATAAAAAAATACTCAATTGTTTTAATTTGATTAAAATTTTTTTGTACTCAAATATTTAACAAATATTTTTGAGATAGATTAACACTTGTTTAGGAGTTATTTAAACTAATGTATTATATTGAAATTAACATAATTTTCTCGTAACATTAACTATATTATCATACGACAATGTACAAAAAAAATATTATTTAACATTCTTATTTTTAACACATTTGTTAAATCTTTTGATATTTTAAGATTTTAATTATTATAATTTTTGTATCAAGTAGCATATATCATTTATGTTATAAACACTAGGAAGTTTATGTAATGTAATGTAACAGGCAATATTTTTAACACAGATTTTATAAATTTTTAACTGTGTATGTCAACCCAGTGGCGGCTCGTATAGGAAAACCATTACAAACAAATAAACAAATCTAAAAAAAAGAAAACAAAGAAAATATCAAATTCTACGGATTTAATTATAAAATCTTCCTCGATCAAGTGTACTCAAGCAATAACTACATATTTTGTTTCTACTTCTTTTAGATTTGTTTTCTTGATTACAGTACGTCCTAATTTTTTCTCATTAAATTTAATTCTAGTTACTGAGTTAGATCAATAAGTGACTTTTCATAATGAAAAATTGCCAGTTCAATAGCTTTACGAAAACGAATAAATCGTCTAAATTTAAACAGCATAAGGCATTATTAAAAGCGTTGATTGAGAAAACCCAAAAACGGGTATTATATTTAATATTATGTTGCCATGAATTCGTAGATATAAAAATTCTTCCTATTTTTTTCAAATAGGGTTTTAATATTTCTAAAAGGTACCAATATAAATTTGGAAGCTTATTCATAATAATATTATTAGTATACTAATAACTATAGAGTAAAATAAAACAAAAATTTAAATATTTTATATAATAACTTTAATAAATATGTTTTATAAGTTCACAAAATACGTTTGTATTTTATACAGTATATTTAATAAAACTCCAACAATGTCAAATTTATAATATAGGATGTAAGCCAGTCCAATGTACCAACAGACGTTAAAAACAACTGATAGAATCCACATTCTGTAAAGAAAAATCATATTATTATTGGTTAGGATTAAACATTATTAAATAAAAATGGTTTTGAGTGTATAAAATTTTTCATTTTTGGCGCGTTTAACGGAAATCGATATACCTATACTTAAGTACCTAATTAGTAATTAGTATTAAATACTAAATAAAAAACACAATCCAAAATATTTTTTTATAGTTATTTGTCAAATTAAAACTATTCGATAACAAAAATTCTTACTATAGGTATTTTATTTTATGTAAAAAATAAATATTTATTAATTGGTATACCGATTTTTTAGTTCTGAATTCCATTTTTATGTATAACAATCCTAACTATCTTCAACTTCAATCTAATCTGACTTATCCCACAAAATTTTCCAATTTTACTTTTTATGAAATAATGTCATAAAACTTATGGTTTCGAGGTCAAATTGTTTATTTAATATTTTTAAATAAATATATATTAATTAATATATATATATATATAATATTAATATGTCTCAAAATTTAAGGGGACGACAAATACATTTCACTGTCATATTATAACAGTGAGGCGTATTTGTCTCCTGAAGAATTTTACGAATGTAGAATACAACATATTAGAACGTGGGTATCTGACATATTTTGAAATATTCTCAAAAGCTTCCTAGAAGCTCCATAAGAAACCTTCTAAGAACATTCCAAAAACGTATTCTTAAAATGTTCTTATAAGAACATTTTAAGAATACGTTTTTGGAATATATAGGATGCTTTTTAGAAAGGTTTTAAGAAGCTTTTAAGAATCTAATTGCATCATTAAAAGGGTATCTATTGAATGTTTTAAAAGTCCCTAAGAAAATTCTTAGCAATAAGGAAAGGTTCTAAGAATATTCCATTATTCCGGGTCATATCTTCTTACAATTACGTACAATTCTCCAATTTTTTTTTTAAATTTACATTTTTCTACTATTTTAAAATTTCGAAAATTTCTTAAACTTCCAAAATTTTCAAGATTTTAAAATTCACAAAATTCACAACATTTTTAAAAATTTTTAAAATTTTTTCTACTTAAGATCTTGTCCTTAAATCTATAAATAGATTTGGCCGGCTCATAATAGGGATTTCCAAAATTTACAAAATTTTATAACACCATTTTTAGGTTAGCTTTATTTTTGCAGGTTAATAATAATTTGATTTATTAATAAGAACACTTACTTTATAATTTTTACAAATTTTTTTAAAATTTCAAACATTCTCAGTTTAAAAAAAAATTTCCCAATTGTTTTAAAAGTTATATTTACAAAAATTTTGAAATTTTAAAAATTTCCAAAATGGTCTTAATCTAGGTACCAAATTTTAACAAAATTATCGAAATTTCTAAATTCTTAAAATTTCCAAAATTTCTTCTCCTTGAATCAATTTCAGGCTATTTAATATCAAAAATTTTCAACATTTCCAAAAAATTTACAATTCCTCATTTTTTTTTAAATTTCCATTTACAAAAATTTCGAAAATTTCCAAAATTGACAAAATCCACAAAATTTTAAAAATTTCCAATATTTTCAAGAAATTTTTAGTCTTAAAATTTACAAAATTTCTTTCTTCTATCTCGGCCTTTATTCTATTTCAGACTATTTGGCTAGCTTATATGCTATATGATAGGGATTTCCAAAATTTTAACACATCACATGAAGAAATTTTAAACACTTTTTTTTTTGAACACTTTTTATAAAATTTTTACAAAATGTACGAAATTTCACAATTTAATTCGTTAAAATTGTCAAAATTCTCAAAATTTTCCAAAAATTTACAATTTCCCAATTTTTTTAAATTCACATAAATGTGAATTTTATTAAATTTTGTGTTTTTTAAAAATCATTAAAATTGCAAAAAATTTGGATATTTTCTTTTGAATAATTATTATTGCTTTTAGAAGCAGTAATAGTTTGACAATACCTAGCAACATGATTTATAAGCTTATAAGCTATATGATAAGGATTTCCAAAATTTACAAAATTTTAACATATCACATGATGAAATTTTAGCTTTATTTTTGGATATTTAGTATTTTAAAGAACACTTTCTATAAAATTTTTACAAAATGTACGAAATTTCACAATTTAGAAATGTTACAAAATTTTATTAATTCGTTCAAATTGTCAAAATTCTCAAAATTTTCCAAAAATTTACAATTTCCCAATTTTATTTAAATTCACATAAATGTGATTTTTTTTAAATTTTGTGAATTTTAAAAATCTATAAAATTGCAAAAAATTTGGATTTTTTCTAAATTTGGTAGATTTCTACAATTTTAGAAATTTCTGAAATTTCTAAAATTGTAGAAATCTACCAAATTTAGAAAAAATCCAAATTTTTAGTAATTTTATAGATTTTTAAAATTCACAAAATTTACAAAAATTTCAAAAATTTTCAAATTTTTAAAAATTACATTTTCTTTTTTGGCAAGCTCGTGATAGAGATTTTCAAAATTTTCTAAATTTACAAAAATGTTACAACTTTTATAATTAAAAAAAAAATTTATAATAATCAGATACATACAACAGGCGAAGAAAGTTCATATTATAGCCGAGCTTTTACCGCCGGGTTTTATATACATTTTTCCCCTAAGCATTTGATTTTAATTTCTTCAAGATTCTGTCTTAATATAAAAATTATTACACGTTTGAAAAATATTATGTTACCTATACGAAACCTTTATTAATTGTATTTATAATAGTTATTTATGTCATTAGGATAAGAAGTAAGGCTTTTTGTGCTAAGCTCAAGGTTTGAAGGCCGACGCGTAGCGGAGGCCTACAATTGAGCGAAGCACAAAAAGGCACTTCTTGGCCGAATGGCATACAACATTTTATCTTCAAAGAACTTTATATACATAGGTCAATTTAATTCAACATCAAAGCGGCCAAACCTCACTTTTTTAGAATCTCATTTATTTATTAGCTAAAGATTACATTAAATGTACAATAATTATTATTGTTTTTAGAAGCAGTAATAGTTTGACAATACCTAGCAACATGATTTAAGTAAAAATGGATTTTTGCTATTACATTGAATTCAATTAATTGTTTAATAAATAGGTAGGTATCTAATTTCAATTTGTTTGGATTTTTATTTAAAAAATAGGTAGTTTGGAATGTTTAAGCTGTGTTTAACATTTAATTTCACTGAAAACTTAAAGCAATTTAAAACTTAAAGATAATTTTAATCGTAGAAAAATAAACGTGCGTTTTCTTGGTTGCCTAACCTCACTTTTTGTTTTATTATTCATATTTAATTTTACAATAATTTAATGAAAAATACTAAACATTAACAGTAAAACAAACAAATTAGTGCTTATTATAAATAAATTAAACCAGTTTAGTACGTTAATTTCTTAGAAAAGGATTAATTTGTCAAAACAATACCCCTAGCGAGAAAAAATCGAACTAATTACTTGCCTCATAAAAAATTTTATCGGCCTAGGCCATAACAAGGTATTTCTTTATCGAATGTTGACAACAATAAAGTTTAAATTATAGACCGCGTGGAGATAAAATAAATTTCTTCGAACTTTTACTCTCAACACACTGTATATTACCTTGTAGCATTTTTCCGTTTAACTTCCAACGGAGTTTTTTCTTTCAAAAGATACTTTTGAGCTCCTATTACAGCATTTTTGAAAAAGGCATAAGGGATTGCTAGGGGCGAGTATTTATCGTATCCAAAATTTTCCTTATCTTTTTCAGGAATCTGTTCTTCTAGTTTAAGAATATTCGTATTGTTGAAAGTCCATTCTTGAAACAAAAAGTACGCCAAGGCCATATTCGCAATATAAATCTTTCGTTGTATTTTGAAAAGACTAAAACAAGAAACAAAATATACATTAAGGGGGTCGTCGGGTGTATTTTGAATAAATGTTTGAATAAACAATTCTCCCAATAAACAAGTTGTACTACTTATGGTAACGATAAATTATATTAAGGTTATATAAAAGTTGTCAAAGATTTTATAAAATTGCCATTTAGTTTACTAGTTTTATAATGGTCATATAAGGTTACTGTAAACTCTAGGTATAATTGGGTTATATAATTGTTTCAATAAACATTTTATATAACCTTTAGTAACCGTTACCATTAGATTTATAAAGGAGTTTTATAAAGTTTGCGGTTACCTGTTTTATAAAACTATTGGGTCTTTAATTTAAGGGGTATATAAGAGTGATATAAATATTTCTATAACCAAATTAAGAAATTTAGGTTTTATAATTTGGGTGATATAACCACTATAAAAACAAAAATGTTTATTGGGATTTAAACAAGGTACTTACAGAGGTTTGTGATTTGTAAGCCTCAACAAAGAATCCACGAATAATGCTGGTATTAAATGGTATAATATGATTTTAATGTAATGCAGACAAAAATTTGTGGTTATCCACGAACCATGTGGGTACCACAACATATTTTCCAATGGTTGATCCCATAGCAAGTCACGACCCATATAGACCATCTCTCCTGAGTATATTGTTTGGTTCATATTATTACTGCAATTGTAAATTTCAATGTCCAAATTATTTTCCTCCCTAAAAAAGTTTTAATGTGAACATTTTTTTTTACTTAAAATTTACCATTATTCTAAGAATGTTTTTTAAACCTTCCAGTGAGAATATTCTTGGGATCATGCTATATTTGTTCTAAAGAACATGCTTAAAAGACATATAGCAGGATCCTAAGAATATTCTTACTGGCCTATAGGTAGGTTCTTAGAAGGTGCAAAGTTTTAGTGGTAAAAGGAATATTCCTGTTAAGCATATTTAGTTCAGTTACCTAAATAATAGTAAAATATACCATAAACTACGTATACCTATACTTAAGTACCTAATTAGTAATTAGTATTGAATTCTAAGTAAAAAACACAATCCAAAATATTTTTTTATAGTTATTTGTCAAATTAAAACAATATTCGATAACAAAAATACTTTTATTATAGGTATTTTATTTTATGTTAAAAATAAATATTTATTAATTTGTATACCGATTTTTTATTTCTGAATTAACATTTTTATGTACAATCCTAACTATCTTCAACTTCAATTTAATCTGACTTATCCCACAAAATTTTCCAATTTTACTTTTTATGAAATAATGTCATACAACTTATGGTTTAGAGATCAAATTGTTTATTTAATACTTTTAAATAAATATATATTAATATGTCGCAATTTTTTAAGGGGACGACAAATACATTTCACTGTCATATTATGACAGTGAGGCGTATTTGTCGTCTCCTGAAGAATTTTACGAATGTAGAATACAACATATTAGAACGTGGGTATCTGACATATTTGGAAATATTCTCAAAAGCTTCCTAGAAGCTCCATAAGAAACCTTCTAAGATCATTCCAAAAACGTATTCTTAAAATGTTCTTAGGATGCTTTTTAGGAAGGTTTTAAGAAGCTTTTAAGAATCTAATTGCATCATTAAAAGGGTATCTATTGAATGTTTTAAAAGTCCCTAATCCATTATTCCGGGTCATATCTTCTTAGAATCAAATTTTGCTATCAGGGGTAGGTATCTAAAGCTTTGTTAAATCGATACAGTGGCAGAACTTAACATGGTGAGTTTTAGTATTACTATTTTATTGATAAAAAGTTGTATTGCCACAGCAAATATTCACTTTGTATGTCTTAAAAGACTAATAAGAATATTCTAAACAATTTTGCCTTAGATTTTTTTTATTCCTTACTTTTTTAAACCCTTGTCCCATGCAACCAAAATCATGGCTTTTATTACTAAATCCACTGGCATATAATCGGCTCTAACATCTGGGTTTACGTACATAGATCTCATTATACCTAAAAAAAATAAAATAACAAATAAATTAAAATTAAATGTAGAATTTTGTTACAATTTTCTGGAATTATTAATTAATTAATCTATTATTAAACATTCACATACCTTTTCCAGCTCCCATTAGTAACCCAACGGGCCCATTAAAGTTGTCAATCCAACCCTTAACAGGCTCTTTCATTGAAGAAATTACTAAAAAATATAGATGTAATAGAATATTTTATAGAATTTTATTTTGTAAAATTTAAACATAATATTTTGTAGAAAACCAGGATTTTTTCCCGAAAATTTTGTTACATTTCAATAGTTTTACAATTACTGTTATATTGCATTTGTTACCTTACAATAGTTTCACATGTTTCATTGCAATGTTACGTTGCCGTTTTATTGCTTTTGTTACATTACAATAGTTTCACAATGTTACGTTACTGTTATATCGCATATTGGTAATTTTGTTACTATAATTTTTAGATTTAAATTTATTATTTTTTGTGTTTGCGTTCTTATTATATGCATTTATTATCTCACGCACAACTTGTGCGGCACAAGTTCTAAACTTTAGTGAGTTTGTAATATTTATTTACTATTTTGTATTTCTTCTTCTTTTTTGTATATTGGTAATTTTGTTATATTACAATGGTTTCACAATGTTACGTTGCTGTTACATTGCTTATTGGTAATTTTGTTACATCACAATAGTTTCACAATGTTACGTTGCTGTTATATTGCATATTGGTTAACTTGGGACGGTAACAATGTTACCATTATTTTAGGTAACTGTTGCGTTGTATTTTGGTAACATCGTTACATTACAATGTTACTCCTATGTTACGTAACGGCAAAACTGTGTTACGTTAAATGTGGACCGGGTATATTTTACCAAATTTCTTCAGAATTATGGTTAAATTATTGGTAAAGGATTTTGTTATTAAATCTACAAAATGTTTGTTATAATTACAAACTACATATTCATTTAGTTAACAGATTGATTTTAAGTTATGTGGACCTGGATTAAAATAAAATCTGTACCTACCTATAGACGGTCTTATGATTATAGCTGGTATTTGATCTTTGCACAAATCATTTATTACATGTTCCGCCATTGATTTTGAAAAGGTGTATGTGTTAGGTAACTTGTTCATATATTTGGCAGTTAAAACGTCAAGGATGTGGGAATCGTACTTTTCTGCTAGCTCTATAGAATCTTTCCAATTTCCATGTTCGGGGTAGATAATTTCATCTATATATTTTCTGTCTGTGTTGCAATAGGTCGTCGAAGTGTGCACTAAGGCGTATAAGTTTTTGATTTCTTTTGCTAGATAGACCACTTCTCTAGTGCCTCTGGTGTTTAATAATATTGCATCTTTGATGGGCTCATCAAACCTCACTGAGGCGGCAGCATGGAATATGATGTTTACATCATTAACCAAAAGTTGCCTATCTTCTTTGGACAAACCTTAAAAAAACATTTTGATCTAAATAATTTACCTAATCATTTTGTTACATGGGTGATTCTACAAAAGTTGGGCAACTTTTGACCTCATTTTGTTTATATAGTTTTCGGAGAATATTAAACAGTATTTTGTTATGAGAACATAGATAATATAATAAATATACTGTTCCAGACCGGGCCAGTCACTTTTTCAAACAGTTTCTGAAATATCTGTGTTTTCTTAATTTGAATGCAAGGGAAGTGACGAGTACTAATTAAATACATATTTTATTGGAAAATATAAGATTTATTGCAACTTTGAGCATATCATACAATAAATATCTTAAAATCAAATAATACCACACATCAGTGGCGGCTGGTGGATTTTAGGTATACCGATATCTCAATTATTAGATATAGGACCCACACCAAATTTATATGAGTTTATAATGACATTAAATAAACAAGTTCTGATGAATGGGATACAAATTTGAGATTATAATTCGGAATTAAGTATTTTACTGATATTTTTATTAGTGGATGCTACTTATCAACAAATCACATATAGCCTTATATAAATTACAATGAAATATATATATAGTTATTTTCTTACGTATACGTAAGAAAATAACTACTCACCACAGTACTGAAATTTTGACTGGAACTATACGTGCATTCACCACAACTTCGCCGCTTGCATTGTTTTTAAGATGACTGTCGTGCAAAGGGCAGGCTCTGTAGCTAATTTTTTACTAACACTTGAGTTAAAACGAGGACTTGACGTTTAAACTTTAATATTTCGCAGGAATTTTGAATTTTAACATTGGACACAGAACTGACGGGTAAAAGTGAGTACAAAGATTATCAATTTTTTAAAATTGCTATTATTCTAATCTATGATGAAATATGAAGAATACATTATTTAATGTTTTATAGTTTGTAGTGAAATTAAAAAATTTAAGATAAATTGAATATATTTTAAAATAAAATCACTCAAATATTTGATTCAGGAGTTGTGACACGCCAAGGTACTGACGTTTTGAATATTTATTATGTTTTTCTACAAACGTGCTTTTGAACAAATACATTAAAATTGTTAAAAAAATCTTGTAATATACTAAAATATTTACAAAAAATATTAAAATACCTACTCTATTGACTGATGACATCAAATTGTCCAACTTTTGTAGAATCACCCATATGACAATTTTTGTGTTTCAAAAGAATTTTTGGTTGCAATTTTGTTAGTATACTAATACTATTATAATACTTATTAATTTAGAAAAATCTTCCTTATTTCAGTTCGAATTCCATGATCAAAAAGAAATGTTGAGGCCACAGAAATTTTTGCAGAAATATTAATTTTGTGACTTCCTGTGACTTTTATAAAAATTCCAAAAAGTGACTTACCCAAGTTTAGTTTGGTAACGTCTCCATCGATTGGAATGAGTTTCTTAAATTGTGAGGGGTTACTTTCCCTAATAAGATCAAAAATCTAAAAAATATCATTGTTAAATTTTACTATGGTTAAAAATTACTGAGTTAGTCTAATTTCTAAAATCTAATGATATAATTATCTTTGCATTTAACTAAGGTGTTTTCTTTGTTTGAACGTAAAACAATTTTCTTGAAAATAGTTTTTAGTTTTGTTTCAGGATAATTGTTTTAGGTTTAAAGGTTTTCATATCCCAAGCAATATTTTAAGTAAAATCGTGAGGCAAAATTACTTAATTTAAGTAAATATTTTGTTAAATTAATTAACCTTAAAAATATTTTATTTATGTTATTTTTACCTATTTTAATAACCCTTAAGTTTCAACACTTTAAAGTTTTATGAGGGACGTAATTTTTACGAAAGAAAATGACTTATAAGTGAATTTCAACTAAAGGAAAATTTAACGGTAATTTTAACGTCAGAATTTTTACTTAATGGTAAATGTTACTCATAAGTCATAATTTTACGATATTATAAGGCCACTTTATAACCGTAAATAATTCCTATTCGCCTGGTATTTTTTAGTGTTATTAGTGGTAATAACAGTGGTAATAACATTTATATATTTTTCTAAAATTCAACAAGGAGAGTTTTAGTTACTAAAAAAGTTTTGATGAATTTTTACCCAAGCAATAACTTTTCTTAAAACCGAAAATATTTAGAGGCATATAATTTTTAAGATGTATCGTGCCTATTTTTATCAATAAAATAATGAGCGTTTGAGTTTTAATGCAAAATATTATTAGTTTTGACAATTTAAGTTAAATTTTTTAATTTTACTTTAGGGTGGCCTTTATTACTTTGCAAGTACCATTTTGTAAAATATAAATTAAAAGAAATTACGATTGTCAATGTTTTAAAAAGAGTTAGTAATTATAGCGTTATTTTTACGTAAATTTCACTTAGTAGATCAAAAAGGTTATTTTGTAGGTAAAATAACGAAATAAACCATTCCCCAAATTTGGTAATTTTTCGTATCTATACCGTTATAAAACCGTTAACCGTAAAAAATACTTTAAAGTTGACTTGGTAGTAAATTTGTAGTTATTTAAACGTAAAATGCTGCTTGAGATAAGAGTTACCTAAATGCAGAACAAATACAGAGTGAGTGGGCGACTGAATATCTGTTGTCACTCTTAAAAACGAATTTTGCTATGATGGGTCAGCTGTATCCCTGATAGCACATTTTATTCTAATAATGTTTTTTAAACCTTCCAGTGGAAATATTCTTAGGATCATGCTATATTTCTTTTAGTCATGTTCTAAGAATGTTTTTTAAACCTTCCAGTGAGAATATTCTTAGGATCCTGCTATATTTCTTCTAGTCATGTTCTAAGAATGTTTTTTAAACCTTCCAGTGAGAATATTCTTAGGATCATGCTATATTTCTTCTAAAGAACATGCTTAAAAGAAATATAGCATAATCCTAAGAATATTCTCACTGGCCTATAGGCAGGTTCTTAGAAAGTGCAAAGTTTAGTGGTAAAAATTAATCCACTATAAACATATGCTTAGAATGTTGAGAAAGTAATTGCTATACAAAGTTCATTTAGGAATATTTCTGGAACATTCTGTTAAGAATATTCAGTTCAGTTAGGTACCTATATAATGGTAAAATATACCATAATCTACGTATAAACTCAAAATAATTTTTTATAGTTATTTGTCAAATTTAAACAATATTCGATAATAAAAATACTTTTACTATAGGTATCTAAATTATCCGGCTTTTACATAAAATCTTCTATCCAACTTAAATACAATGAAAAATGTTTTTTATGAAAAACTATTTTGTTTTTTTTATGAAGAATTATTTTATAAGGAAATATTTTGTTTTTTTATATTTTATTTTATGTCAAAAATAAATATTTATTAATTTGTATACCGATTTTTTATTTCTAAATTAACATTTTTATGTATATTAATCCTACACTGAGAAAAAAATGGGACAAATAAACTGTTTACCTAATACTTTTATTTGTAGTGAATATATTGTTTATTACCTCTAAATAGTCGAAATAATAACGATAAATATACTTTAGTAAAACTTTATATGTCGGGAATAAAAATATATTTAGGATTAATAAACTGTACCCTTGTCCCATATTTAAATATTTTTTTTATTTGGGAGCAATAAACTTTTTTCTCCGTGTAACTATCTTCAACTTCAATATAATCTGACTTATCCCACAAAATTTTCCAATTTTACTTTTTATGAAATAATGTCATACAACTTATGGTTTAGAGGTCAAATTGTTTATTTAATATTTTTAAATAAATATATTAATATGTCGCAAATTTTTTTAAGGGGATGACAAATACATTTAACTGTCATATTATGAAAGTGTTTTTGTCGCCTCCTGAAGAATTTTACGAATGTAGAATACAACATATTAGAACGTGGGTATCTGACATATTTGGAAATATTCTTAAAAGCTTCCTAGAAGCTCCATAAGAAACCTTCTAAGAACATTCCAAAAACGTATTCTTAAAATGTTCTTAGGATGCTTTTAAGATTCTAATTGCATCATTAAAAGGGTATCTATTGAATGTTTTAAAAGTCCCTAAGAACATTCTTAGCAATAAGGGAAGGTTCTAAGAATATTCCATTATTCCGGGTCATATCTTAGAAGATTCTTAAAATCAAATTTTGCTATCAGGGTACAACTTGTCATTTACTTCATGTACTTATACTTACTGGGATACTTATGATTTGCTCTACTCTTTCTTGAAGATGTTTGCCCTTTTTTGGTCTCATAAGTACATATATTTTTTCCAACTCGGGACAACTTCTTAGTAACTTTTCCAGGAGAACTTTTCCCATAAACCCTGTACCGCCCGTGATAAATATGGTTTTACCCTTGTAGAACTCGGGAACACCCATTTTCTCTTCCAATGCCATTTTGCGCACGAAAACCCCAACACAATCACCTCAATCCACACAAATAAACTAAATTAAGGTATGAATTAATCATTGATGATTTAACACAATTAGTGAATATCATTAAACCAGGGGTCAATAGTATTCATATTAAAAGTACATCCTGTATATATTATTATCTTTATTGACTTATATGACCTCATAAAACGAAAATAGAAGATTATTTTATTAACTAACTTGAAAAATACATGAAATCATCTTTTTCAGCAATTTTTTCAGCAGTAATCACTATATTTTTGTCATCTTTTTTATCATCATTATCTTTTGTTTCTAAAGCTTTAGCACTATCATCTAACTTCGGACTTTCATTGTCTAGGACATTCAAAGATTCTTCTCGTCTTCTTAGTGGTTGAGATTCTTCTTCAAGTGTTGTATTTTCTTTTGATTTTGGAGTTTCTGGTTTTTCTGTAGGAGGGGCTTCCGGAGTATGTACTCCAGTAGCCTCTGCAGGCTGTTCACTGGGAATTTCAAGCGAATCACTCATTTTACGTAAAAATTTTGATTAATTTTCAAATAGAAATGTCAAACTTACTGTAGAGATTTTTGACGCTACCAAAGTCAAAACAAAAATTTAAATTTTTTTGTACAACTAAATTTTGTGTTAAAAAAATTGCAAAACAATGGGCCAAGATATTGAAGAACCGACGGAAGAACCAATTGAAGAAGCAGCTGCAGAAACCGAAGAAAAACCTGAAACAAACGAAGATGCTGAAAAACCTGAAGAACCGCCTGTTGAAGAACCGCCTGTTGAAGAAGCAGTCGATAATGCACAAGAGGATGAAGAAGGGGAAGAACTAAAGGAAGAAGAGGACGTGGACATTATTGTTGATACAGAACCAGTTGTGGTTAAAGAAGAAAAAATAAAGAAAGCCGACAAAAAGGGGAAGAAAGCCGGAGGTGGTAAAAAAGGAAAAAAGAAGAAAGGTGCAGAAGAAGGCGAAAATCAGGCAGAATCTGATATACCCCAAAAAACAGAAGATGATGTATATGGTGAAGAGGAAGATGAGGAAGAAGAACAAACACACCAAACTGACGAAGAAGAAGAACAACAAGGTAAAGCAAACTGTATATAGGGTTGTATGAATTCAGTGTGTACTTACTTCATTTAGATCAAACTGATAAGTCTGAACCAGTGGAAAAAGAACCTTCTCTAGAAAAGGTTGACAAAAAAGGAAAAAAAGGCAAGAAAGAGAAGAAAGGCAAAAAAGGTGCTAAAGTTAAACCTGAACCTGAACCTGGAGATGAAGAAATTGGAGAAACAAAGGTTCCAACAGAATCCATGGCTGATTTAGGCAAGGAGAATTTCTTAAGAAGTTTGTAGTTAAAAATATTCCAATATCTTTTATATAGAAGCTGTAGGAGAAGAGTCTAAACCAGATCTGGGCAAAAAGAAGACCAAAAAGGGAAAATCAAAATCGAAAGTAAATCTTGACGATGAAGAACCCGATGATTTAAAAGGTAAATTTATATGTACAGGGTGATTTAAAAACAACAAGGTTGTTAATATAGAAGCCGCTGGAGACGAGTCAAAGGCAAATCTGGAAAAAAAGAAGTCAAAAAAGGGAAAATCAAAATCAAAAGTAAATCTTGATGATGAGGAACCCGACGATTTGAAAGGTATATTTGAATATACAGGGTGATTTTAAAATAAGTAAATTCAATTAAAGATGATGCAAAGACGAAGAAAAAAAGCAGATCAAGAATAAAAACACAAGAATCTAAAGGAGACTTTAATAAAGATAGCGATGAGGAATTAAAGAGGCCAAGAAGCAGGAAAAAAATTAAAAAAGGAGAATCCACAGACGAGCTAAAAAAATCCAAAAAAAAGTCCAAATCCGCTACTGGTAAATAATTAATAGAAAATATAATGCCAGTTTAAAAAAAAATCTTTTTATTAGGAATAACTGATTCCAAGTTTCATTTTACGTTATCATCATCAAAAATGGTAAGGGATTTATTTAAATTAATAATATATTATCAAAGAACTTAAAAAACAACAATAATAATAATTTAAAAAAAAGGATTTCGGAGGCTTTGATGACGAGTCTGAATCATCGGATGAAGACACCAAGAAGAAGAAAACCGACAAAGAAGCATCTGGTGGTAAGAAGACGAAAAAAGGCAAAAAATCAAAAGTAATAATTTTTCATAAATACTTTAAGTAAACAAATAAAAACATTTTATTATACTACTTAGAAAGGCAAAAAACCAAAAGGAGAAGTAATAGAGGAGGCAGAGGAAACACAAGATCGTAAACATTTATATTATAAGGGGTATCCAAAACGAATGAGCACTTTCTTCTTATATTAGGTTTACTAGGTTTTTGCTCATATTTTTGGTCACCCTTTGTATCCATTATACAGATTATAAAATGTATTTTAGAAAAAGACTTTAAAGAAGCTATGGCACAGGTTACCGAAGAAGTCAAAGAAAAAAAAGGGAAAAAGGGCAAAAAGGGTAAAGGAAAAAAGGTACATGTTATAGCTAAGTTTCATATTTCTCTTGTAGATAGTTTTATTTGTATATTTATTTGTACTCTTTTTACAGGGAAAGAAATCAAAAACCGGTAAAGGCAAAAAACTGACGCCAGAACAGCTGGAAAAGTTGCAAAAGGAACAAGAGGAAGCAGCCAAAAAGTAATTTTTACTCCATTTTTAATACGATGTCTGATAATACCGCAAACTGCCATTCCCACACATGCATGTTTAGTTTAGTTGCAATACCTCCTGGGAATATTCCTGACATGTCAGGAATATTCCCAGAAGGTATTGCAACTAAACTAATGAATATTCACTGGGAATGTTTTTAGATGGTGTTTGGGAGTTTTAGGGGATCATTCTATGGAATATTCCCAATGAATATTCCTAGAATGAAGCGGATTATTCCTAGATGATAGCGCATATTACTGGAATATAACAAATTTTTAGAAAGAGAAAATTATTTATTGTTTTTCGAATATAAAGAAAATTCACTGGGAATGTTTCAAGATGTTGCTTGAAAGTTTTAGAGAATCATTCTAGGATTAATCCTAGATGATAGCGCATATTCCTGAAATATAACAAATTTGTAGAAAGAGAAAATTATTTATTGTTTTTTGAATATAAAGAAAATTCACTGGGAATGTTCCAAGATATTGCCTGAAAGTTGTAGAAGATCATACTATGAAATATTCCCATTGAATATTCACTGGGAATGTTATTAGATGGTGTTTGGGAGTTTTAGGGGATCATTCTATGGAATATTCCCAATGAATATTCCTAGAATAAAGCGAATTATTCCTAGATGATAGCGCATATTCATGGAATGTAACCAATTTGTAGAAAGAGAAATTGATTTATTGTTTTTTGAATATAAAGAACATTCACTGGGAATGTTCCAAGATGTTGCTTGAAAGTTGTAGAGGATTATTCTATGAAATATTCCCAATGAATATTCACTAGATTCCTAGATGATAGCGCATATTCCTGGAATGTAGAATAAAGCGAATTATTCCTAGATGATAGCGCATATTCATGGAATGTAACCAATTTGTAGAAAGAGAAAATGATTTATTGTTTTTTGAATATAAAGAACATTCACTGGGAATGTTCCAAGATGTTGCTTGAAAGTTGTAGAGGATTATTCTATGAAATATTCCCAATGAATATTCACTGGGAATGTTCTTAGATGGTGCTTGGAAGTTTTAGAGAATCATTATATGGAATATTCCTAGAATGAAGCGGAGTATTCCTAGATGATAGCGCATATTCCTGGAATGTAACCAATTTGTAGAAAGAGAAAATGATTTATTGTTTTTTGAATATAAAGAAAATTCACTGGGAATGTTCCAAGATGTTGCTTGAAAGTTGTAGAAGATCATTGTATGAAATATTCCCAATGAATATTCACTGGGAATGTTCTTAGATGGTGCTTGGAAGTTTTAGATAATCATTCTATGGAATATTCCTAGAATGAAGCGGAGTATTCCTAGATGATAGCGCATATTCCTGGAATGTAACCAATTTGTAGAAAGAGAAAATTATTTATTGTTTTTTGAATATAAAGAATATTAACTGGGAATGTTCCAAGATGTTGCTTGAAAGTTGTAGAGGATTATTCTATGAATATTCACAGGGAATGTTCTTAGATGTCGCTTGGAAGTTTTAGAGGATCATTCTATGGAATATACCCAATGAATATTCCTAGAATGAAGCGGATTATTCCTAGATGATAGGGCATATTCCTGGAATATTTTCGAACCTTCATTACAGTCTGGGAAATGTTCACATGAGGAATTTGTGGTATATAAACAATATTACTTTCTAATTTCCTTCTCAGGCAAGCTGAAGAAGAACGACGAATACTTATTGAAGAAGCGAAAAAGGCAGAGGAAGAAGACAAACGTCATTTATACGAATATGGGTTGAGAACTGAACAACTCACTTACGACTTTAACATAAGATTGGAAATAGAGGAATACACCAAGAAACTTGAGGATGAAGAAAATATAAAAAAAGAGGTGAGATAATTTTAGTTCTGGCTTACCTACTTGTTTTTTTTATGTACATCTACTTTTTTGCAGTGGGAAACATATTTAGAGTGTAGAACGTTGCCAGATGGTACCAAATGTCCAGAATTAACAACGTATCTTCATACGTGGAATGATGAAATACAGCTAACCAGCATGGAAACAGCTTCAAAAAGAACCACTGACTTATTAGAGGTTAAGTCTGTATACAGTGTGGTTCTATGTCGTTTCGCGCATACTAACCCACAAATCAACCTTAAAATTGACATTTGACAGTTTAATGACAGCGCTGATAGCATCCCTGATAGCACACTTTATTCTAAGAATGTTTTTTAAACCTTCCAGTGAGAATATTCTTAGGATCATGCTATATTTCTTCTAAAGAACATGCTTAAAAGACATATAGCATGATCCTAAGAATATTCTAACTGGCCTATAGGCAGGTTCTTAGAAGGTGCAAAGTTTTAGTGGTAAAAATTAGTCTACTCTAAACATATGCTTAGAATGTTAAGAAAGTAATTGCTATAGAAAGTTCATTTAGGAATATTCCTGTTAAGCATATTTAGTTCAGTTACCTATATAATAGTAAAATATACCATAAACTACGTATAACGGTATACGTAAGTACCTAATTAGTAATTCGTATTAAATACTAAGTAAAAAACACAATCCAAAATATTTTTTTATAGTTATTTGTCAAATTAAAACAATATTCGATATCAAAAATACTTTTACTATAGTATTTATGTCAAAAATAAATATTTATTAATTTGTATACCGATTTTTTACTTCTGAATTAACATTTTTATGTACAATAATCCTAACTATCTTCAACTTCAATCTAATCTGACTTATCCCACAAAATTTTCCAATTTTACTTTTTATGAAATAATGTCATACAACTTATGGTTTAGAGGTCAAATTGTTTATTTAATATTTTTAAATAAAAAATATATTAATATGTCGCAAAATTTAGGGGGACGACAAATACATTTCACTGTCATATTATGACAGTGAGGCGTATTTGTCTCCTGAAGAATTATATTTGTAAATATTTTCAAAAGCTTCCTAGAAGCTCCATAAGAAACCTTCTAAGAACATTCCGAAAAGGTATTCTTAAAATGTTCTTAGGATGCTTTTTGGGAAGGTTTTAAGAAGCTTTTAAGAATCTAATTGCATCATTAAAAGGGTATCTATTGAATGTTTTAAAAGTCCCTAAGAACATTCTTAGCAATACGGGAAGGTTCTAAGAATATTCCATTATTCCGGGTCATATCTTCTTAGAAGATTCTTAAAATCAAATTTTGCTATCAGGAATAATGTTTATTTTTGCGTAACCATGGTACAAGTTTAACCATTGTTTTTAGAGGTTGGGTCTAAAAACAATAACTTAACTCTTTTGTGATAGAAAACGGAACTTCGACTCAAACATAAGGTTTTTAAACTAATAATATTTTTTTAGCTGTTGGAAGAACTCGAAGATGGCCTGATTCTTGTAAAAAATGACGAAGGCAATACATACAATAACCTCATTTGGGTAAGCATTTCCAAACAAAATACAAAGCAAGTAAATTTTCTTTCACTTGTACAGGGTGAATCGTTTAATTTGAAATATCTCAGTTAGTATGCATGTATGTTTGTATTTTTTAAATTTATTTATTTATTTTTTATTTCCACTTGTGACTGTTGCTCGACGAACTCTTTTTTTCGGTTGAACACTCCCGTTTGTAGCAAACTGCTTGACTGTACGGTGAAATGAAGTACGTGATCGAATTTTTTCCGGAAAACGCTGAGCGTAGATATTAACAGCATCATCAAGATTCCTGCCTGCTTCTCCATAAATCAAAATCATTTCTATTTTTTCATCCACTGTTAAAAAATCCATTATGAATAACTGCTTAACGAAAGGAGGTCTTTTTGTTTGCAAATTAATCTTCGAACTAAATTAATTATATAATGCTAAATTATGTATAAATAGTTTCTTTATACCTCAATTAGGATTAAATTAATTAATTGACAAAATAATGTTTTTTTTATATTAAATGAGGTATTTTTATTAAAAATAGTACAATAATCCTTTAAATTAAAGGATTTAATGCTGGCAGGTAAAAAGTGACCATGGTGCGCAATTGATAATTATCACCGAATGAAATAATGTATAAAACTTAAACCAAAGGAAACTTAAATATTAGTTAAAAAATCGTGGGTACTTAAAAAAATCAGATTTAATTTAATAAGATAATTTATTACCAAAAAAAGTGATATTTTTATAGAAAAATTATTGCAGAATCGTATAAGAAGAAAAATCGAAAAAAATTGATTTTTTTTCATTAGAGCGCCACCTATTACAAATATAAAAAAATGTTTTAGACAAAATCTATAGATAGGTACCTATTTTTAGTCGAATGATCTGAATCTGCAATAAAAAATAGGGTGTTCCATTGGAAATTTTAAAGTTACCCCCTGTTCCCCCTATAAGTATGAGGACCAATTTTGGTACTGATTGATTTCCCCCTCGAATCATTTAATTTTTATTTTAAACATTTTTTCGTAAAATGCACACTAACTGAGATATTTCAAAATTTCAAGTTGAATGACTCACCCTGTTTAACTTTGATAGGTTAGGCAGCTTTTAAGAGATTGCCAAAACAAGAGTCTGAATGAAGCCACTTTCGCTCTATTGCGATTTGTGGAAACCAAAATGAACAGAATTAATATGAACCTTGCTGATTTCGATTTTCAAGATGATAATATCATATTAAGTCTTTGGTTGAGGAAACAATTGCCGATACCACTTCCAAATCCTAGAAGGCCACCTAGGTAAGAAGATTTCGAAAAGCGTCATTACCCATGTTGTCTAAATCTAATCCCTGATAGCACACTTTATTCTAAGAATGTTTTTTAAACCTTCCAGTGAGAATATTCTTAGGATCATGCTATATTTCTTCTAAAGAACATGCTTAAAAGACATATAGCATGATTCTAAGAATATTCTTACTGGCCTATAGGCAGGTTCTTAGAAGGTGCAAAGTTTTAGTGGTAAAAATTAGTCTACTCTAAACATATGCTTAGAATGTTAAGAAAGTAATTGCTATAGAAAGTTCATTTAGGAATATTCCTGGTAAGCATATTTAGTTCAGTTACCTATATAATAGTAAAATATACCATAAACTACGTATAAAGGTATATACCTATACTTAAGTACTTAATTAGTAATTAGTATTAAATACTAAGTAAAAAACACAATCCAAAATATTTTTTTATAGTTATTTGTCAAATTAAAACAATATTCGATAAAAAAAATACTTTTACTTTAGGTATTTTATTTTATGTTAAAAATAAATATTTATTAATTTCTATACCGATTTTTTATTTCTGAATTAACATTTTTATGTATAATAATCCTAACTATCTTCAACTTCAATCTAATCTGACTTATCCCACAAAATTTTCCAATTTTACTTTTTATGAAATAATGTCATACAACTTATGGTTTAGAGGTCAAATTGTTTATTTAATATTTTTAAAGAAATATATATTTATATGTCGCAAAATTTTTTAAGGGGACGACAAATACATTTCACTTTCATATTATGACAGTGAGGCGTATTTGTCGTCTCCTGAAGAATTTTACAAATGTAGAATGCAACATATTAGAACGTGGGTATCTGACATATTTGGAAATATTCTCAAAAGCTTCCTAGAATCTCCATAAGAAACCTTCTAAGAACATTCCAAAAACGTATTCTTAAAATGTTCTTAGGATGCTTTTTAGGAAGGTTTTAAGAAGCTTTTAAGAATCTAATTGCATTATTAAAAGGGTATCTATTGAATGTTTTAAAAGTCCCTAAGAACATTCTTAACAATAAGGCAGGGTCCTAAGAATATTCCATTATTCCGGGTCATATCTTCTTAGAAGATTCTTAAAATCAAATTTTGCTATCAGGGATAGACCAGCTAATAGAGCCGATTCCTAGAAAATGTTCTGAGGTTTTAAGATTTGTATACAGGGTGTTTTACTTCAATTTGAAATTTTCCGGTTTGACCGGAAGTGACATTAACTTTGTTCTATTTGAAATAACAAAGTTGATGCCACTTACGGTAAGGAAATGTGACTATAGTTTTTTTTATGTTTTAGGCCAAGAATTGACATTAACTTTGAGTCTTTGAACCTGACCGTTCTATGTCCTCTTTCACTAGACGGAGAAGGTAAAATCTATCCATGTCACAAATACTCAAACAATTTTTATTTTTTTTTAAATTTCTTAGGTCTAGCCATTAGGGCCTTATACCATAGATATGATCATTACAGCGACTTGTCAGCCTCATTTAAAATGCCTGAAGTGGATGAAATATTTAATATTGGTAAAGATTGACTTTCATATTTGAGTTTTCATTTGCTGCAGTCTCGATCTTTTCGACCTAAAATGAGTTTTCTTTCGCCAAATTACAGTTCAAAAAGTTGCTGAGTTAATCTAGTGGAAAATAGTTTATTAAATAACTAATGTCATAAGACGTAATTTTGTCGCACGCGGACAATTTATAAAACGAGCGACGATGGAGTAAATGTACACGGAAAGAAATTTTGAATACAATCAATCCAAAATTAGACTAATATCAATAATTCATTCGATTGAATTATTTGCTAGGCTTAAATGTATCAAACCGTGATAAATAGCAGCAAATAAGTTTTATAAATCACTACAAAATTTAGAATAATTATAGTGAAAATTAAATTAAATTCGCCTACGGTTTTCTAGAATCCACATAATATTTTCTTAAATTTACCAATTCTTGGATTCAATTAAGCACTTTTTAGGTCAATCTAATCTATTTTTTTTTAATAGTAGTTAAAAAAAATTTGGCAAAATTAAGAATAATTAGGATACAGTTTATTAGATCATTTGATTGATTCGTGCAAAATTTATCTAAATAGTTAGTAAAAAATGTATTGAATTTATCAAAAATTGTATTATTTTAATCAATTCAATATTTGATTATAATTATTGACTGGAATATTGATCTTCGTAATAAGCAGTGATAGTGGGGTAGGTAAAGTATATATACTAAATTTTGTGTTTAATAAATATTCATTTATTTTAGCTTACAAACTTTCATAAAAAATAACTCAATAAAATAATAATCTATAGGTTCAAAATACAAAAAAATAACTCAATAATGGTTTAGTTTAACAAGTGTTTTTTATGTTTAATTGACTAATATAATGTAGGTATAATTTTTAAAGTTTTAAAATATTTGCGTTTAAAACCTTAAAAAACAACTGTTTAAATTTAATTTTACGGCGTCAAATTAATCAAAGATGGTGGCTGGAGATATCTCACGTGGTGCGCACAACAGTTTTCGTTCGAATGCCAACGAAATCGAACAGACCTTCTTGTGTGGATTGTGATCACGATTTTAATATTATCCATGTCCCTGACGTCTACTTGACAGTGAAAATGCTTGGTAGGAACATACCTATATTACTCTTAACACGTAGAGTGCCGTGGTGGGTCAACGATGTCCACCAATTGAGATGATTTTATTTTTCCATTCTGGCCGTGGTGGGTCAAAGTTGTCCACCATGCCTCTTTATAGTTCAGGCCGCGGTGCATCACAGCCGTCCACCAGAGCCATGCTAAATATATAGGGAGTGATTTAGAATGCTTTTAGCAATGTCTTAGTTTATAACTATAGTTGGTTTTCGCGCTGGTGCTCTAACTTGTCCACCATGGCCGAAATTTAAGTACTGTATATTTTTTGTTCTCTAACCAAAAATTAAGTGGCCAGTATGAACCGTCAATTTACCTTTCCATAGCGGCACTCTACGTGTTAATAACCAAAAACGTGGAAATTAATAAAATTTATTATACCTACATATATCGCAAAAACTATGAGAGCGAAGTCAAAATAAACGGTTTTGGAATCTGCTGTGTTGAATAGACACGATTGTTCTTTCACAACTCACTACACCACCTGTCTCGAAGAGAAACTGCAAACTAAAACGCGTTAAAAATAAAAAATTGGGATGTTTGCTAAATTTGCTGCTTTTATTACAGATTTGGTCAAAATATTAGCTTGATTTTAGCTAACTTAATAATTCCGTCAAATATTGGATAATCGTATTAAAAATTTGATAGAATTAGTTTTATATTTGATTAATGTTAGTAAAGGTCTTTTTCTAAAATTCAGTAAATTTTTCAAATAATTCAATCTAGACAGAATTATTTTAATTTAAACATGTATAGATATTAAGCAATTATTTTATTGTTTTTATTTCAAATATATTTGAAATATGTTTAAAATTTAAACTTTAAATTAAATTAAAATTTAAACTTTAAATTAAATTAATCCTGTCTAGATGAAATTATTAGAAACATTTACTAAATTTTAGAAAAAGACTTATAAAATGTGTACTAACATTAATCAAATATAAAACAAATTCTATCCAACTTTTGATACTACTTACTAATACTAGTAAAAATAAAGTTAAATCCATTTAGTTTTTATTTAAATATTATTTGATGAAATTAATCCAAATAGGAATATAATAATAAAATCCAAGAGTTGATCTTATCTATCTTTTCTTTGAAAATTAAGCTTAACGTTACAAAAAGCCAATCTTAATGTTTGATTGGTTTAAGAAAAACTTTTTCTGTGACCAATCTTAACTTTGCTGTTCCTAGAAAAAAATGTATTCGATGTAGCACTTAAACGGTAAAATCTATCTAAGGATGTTAATTTTAATTTGATGATATTAATCATTTGCGAAATGTACCTACATATTTATCATAAAAAACTTAAATTTGTCAGTTTTTTTCTTGATCTGATTTACTTTATCATAACATTTCTTTCCGTGTAGCTATAGCTATAGCAACAAAGGTCTGGTTAGACAGTTTATTAACTCAGCGACTTACATAATTTTTTATGATATTAAATAAAAAAAATTGCGATCTTTCTAGGAAGCTTGGACTACTCAAATATGGAATGGAGGGCAAAGTTAATGTACAAATTTGAGAATAGAGTACGAAAACCACCGAAACCAAAATTGGATACCGATGAAACAACCGACATCAAGACTGATGCGGAAGAACAAAATTTGGACGAACTTGAAATTGGACCGGACGATCCAATACCCATTGTACCTTATAGAAAGTTAGACCCATCTCCCAGCGAGTTTATTGTACAGAAAGAGGGTTAGAGTTTTTTTTCATAATTAATGTCATTTTAGACAAGTAAACTATCAAATAACACACTGGTGTGTTATAATCCATAACTCACTAGTGAGGCCTGACGGCCTCGTGGTATAAATCTTACTCGCGTGACTTATTTTCAACATAACACTAGTACCATAAATAACTATTTTTTTAGAAACCTTATATCAAACTACACGAGAAAACATGCACATAGAAATGGAGGAAAATGCCATCAATTTAAGACAATTTACAATTTTGGGTGGGGTGTATAAAATTGATTTATTACAGCAGCCCCCTCAACCCCAGGATTTTATTTTGATTAATATGTACATTACCACATGTGAGTCACCTTTAATATATCTCAGTTAGTAAACTTTTTACGAAAAAATGTTTAAGATAAAAATTAAATGATTCGAGGGGGAAAATTATTCAGTACTAAAATTGGCCCCCATACTCTCCAATGGAACACCCTATTTTTTATTGCAGATTCAGATCATTCGACTAAAAATAGGTAAATTTTGTCCTAAAACATTTTTTCATATCTGTAATAGATGGCGCTTTAATAAAAAAAAATCAATTTTGATCGATTTTTCTTCTGTATACGATTCTGCAATAATCGAACAAAATTGATTTTTTTTTCAGTACATCGTCATCTATTACAAATATGAGTATTTAGTACTGATTGACTTCCCCCCTCGAATCATTTAATTTTTATTTTAAACTTTTTTTCGTAAAATGCATACTAAGTAAGATTTTTCAAAGTTTCAAGTTAAATGACCCACCCTGTGTGTTTATTTTTGCAGTGTTGTTGCCTAAACAATTGGAATACATTCCGTTTTTCGTTGAATATACACCCCCTGCACCCCCTGAAGAAGGGGCTATTAGAACACCGGAGGAAATAGAAGAAGAATTAAAGAAAAATGAAGAAGAGATGGATCAGCTAATACTGGTAACTCTAAAGTAAGTACATTCTGTCGAAAAAGCCTTCCCTGATAGCACACTTTATTCTTAGAATGATTTTTAAACCTTCTAGTGAGAATATTCTTAGGATCATGCTCTATTTCTTCTAAAGAACATGCTTAAAAGCTTATAGCATGATACTAAGAATATTCTTACTGGCCTATAGGCAGGTTCTTAGAAGGTGCAAAGTTTTAGTGGTAAAAATTAGTTTACTCTAAACATATGCTTAGAATGTTAAGAAAGTAATTGCTATAGAAAGTTCATTTAGGAATATTCCTGTTAAGCATATCGATGGTTATTTGACAAAACATCGTAAGCGACAATTTTGTTGAATTACTTTTTATTTTATCAAAGTATTAGTTACGATAAGCTGCACATGTTAACATAATAGTTATTCCAATTTTGGAATCTAATATTGGTCAGTTTGAATATATTTATTATTGTAAGCGCCTCTTCTTTTTAATTTGTTACCGATTTATAACGTAAGCGCCTATATGTTCCTGACAAATAATCGTAAGCAACTCCGAGACATGGCGTTTGCGATTTAACATTGTGTCGCTTACGATAATATTGTGGTCCCGCCTTGATCTATCAAGGCGTTATTCCCGTTCTAAACAGTTTATTCGTGGGTATACCTGCATCGTGGTGATTGCTACCACAATCCACAATGTGGATTGTGATTGCTACCAAGTTTTAAAACAATATTTTATTTGATCAAAAGCTTATAATTCCTTTTTATCATTGCATTATTAATAGTTATCCTAATTATAATTGTTTTTACGTAGTGTGGTTCGTTAAAAGTGTTTTTTATACTCGTAGTAATTGTTATCTATGGTAATTGTATGTTGTTATGGTAATTGTATGTTGTTATAACGTCAAATAATTTAACTCAATTTATAACGGTTAGATGACGGCCAAAAAATTTCGAACGACCTGTCAATCATTTGATTTCAAAATGTAAAACTGCCTTTAGTAACCACTAACCTTACTTTCTGAAAGTTGTCAGTTTGACGTATTTCATTGTTGATTGTGTTGTTTTAAGGTTAGATTCTCTGTCAACTTTTTGAAACTGCTTGTCATCTTGTCAAAAATGTTCCTAAAGGTTGGACATTAAGTTCGGGCTCCTTGTGTAGGCTCCATGGGTTAGATACTGGTTTGGGAATAAAAATCGTTCATTTTTTTCAAAGAAAGCTAATGTAGATTTTCATTTTTAAACATTG